TAGAATCTGCCTCTGTAGGTACTATTTTCCTTTCTGAATAACCATTGCTTAACTCGTTCTTGCAGAAACCTCACTGCTCTGAACAAAAAGTCCCTCTTCAGGAGGACCTCATCAGAAAACCTCTTCATGGACTCTCGCTGTTGGTTCCTTCTGTGCATCTTTCTCACGTGTCAGCTCTTCATTAATTATGTCTTCAAATAAACATCACAGTGGCATTTGGGCAGCAATAAGAATGACCAGCTGCAGGAGCGTGGAGACTGAAAGGCAAGGAGCCCACGGAGGCATTAAGCACTTTACTACCGACACAGCAACCAGGGGCAAAAGGAAGAGAGAACAGGGTGAACCAGGGAACCTGCAAAGTTGTGTTCTTCAAATTTAATGTCATTGCCTTTTTTACATGTACATCTACAAGGACCTCTTTACCTGTATGGGCCTTAATGCTAAAGCCAAATGTAGCTTTAATTGTGCAATTTTTGTTTTTCTATGTCTGGTCGTTTTCTGATGCAATTAAATGTTACTAACAAGTATTTGTGCCCCTTCTAACACTACCAACATCTACTTGGTTTTGTAATATGGTTCCCAGTGGTTTGTTTTGTAGCTGTTCTACAGAACGAGGAGGGCACTTGGACATTGATCCAGGTGCCTTCTAGAAAGGAACATTGGGCAGCCAGATAGAAAATTAAGCCAACTGGGTATAGATAGCACAGCTTCTCCTTGGATCTTCTCACCAGTGCTCTCTCACACCACATCTCAATGAACAGCACACCACATTGCATTCCACCAAGTTGTAAATATGCATGATTTCTTAATGCCCTGTCCTTTTAGGAAACACGAAGCCTCCCATTCATAGGCAACAATGGCCTGCCAGATGGTCGGAAAAGGAATCAGTTCGGGGATATTAGTCTCAAAGTTTTTACATTGATTAAAACACACAAACACAAGCACTGTATAAAGGAATGCAAACAATATTTAAAGGAATGCCTCTGAAATGTACCATTATTCCCAGAAGGGGAAAAGAGAATGACCGTATATGAGCACTTCTGTATATAGTTTATTTTGTATGCCACAAAAATCACTACAGTACCGGGGTTCACTGGGCATATACTGTGGCATAGGAAGGTTTTGTCCACTGATGCATCCAGGGCAGCTTTATGGGTAGGTGGTGCAAGCAACTGCTTCTGTATGTTTCTTTTGGGTGATCACTTGTAACTAGTTGGCTCAGCTTCCCTGTGCTTTGTATCAAAGGACAACTGCTTTCTAGTATCACAGAATGCCCCCTTCCCCTCTATAGGGCTGATCCTGTGATTGTGTGAAGGCACCTTGTGTATGTTCTTTGCTCATAGGTACATTTAAAGGTTAATGGTCAGGATTAGTAAGGGTTTGCCACTGCATCCTCTGACTCTGTTGATAGTCTTCCTATTTTTACACCATTTTTAAAAGATTTGCAATATTTTATGTAGATTCGCAGCCAGTACTAAGCCTTTCTTTTCTGGCCTGAAGTAGTTCCAAGTGGTAAGTACTGCTATATATATAAAAAGATTATATATATATATACAGCCTTAAAATATTTAGTGGTGGTGCCAGTCTGGGCTAACTTTCATTGTAAATGTTTCCAGATTTTTAACTACATTCCTTGTGATGTTCCCTCATTAGGGGAAATTTTGTTTGTGCTTGATATGTTGAAATAAACTACACAACTTTCACTTATACCTTCTGTGTGGCTCTGTCATTGTAGTACATACGACTTCTTTTTTGCTATTTATCTTTCTTGTGCAAGAAGTATTTACTCCAGGGAGATGTTGACAAGCTGGAATGTGTCCAGAGGAGGGCGAATAAAATGATCAAGGGTCTGGAGAACAAGCCCTATGAGGAGTGGCTTAAAGAGCTGGGCATGTTTAGCCTGCAGAAGAGAAGGTTGAGAGGAGACATAATGGCCATGTTTCAATATGTGAGGGGAAGTCATAGGGAGGAGGCCTGTTTTTGGCTGCCCTGGAGAGTAGGACGTGGAACAATGGCTTCAAACTACAGGAAAAGAGATTCCACCTGCACATGAGGAAAAACATTACACACTGTATAATTGTAAAAGTTTAGAACAATACAAAAGCATACATCTACACACACCGGATAGTCATTAGATCTCAAAAGTTTTTATTAAAAGACAAGTATTAACTTGGTGCTGAAATGAAACCAGTCTCTGAACCAATTGGGTTCCACTGGAAGGACTTCCCAACCGGTATCCCACAACTGAGAAGGCCGTCCTCCATGCCTGATTTTAGGAGGACCACCACATCCTCCATAAAAGATTTAGCAATGTATTGGAGGCCTGCAGGAGAGGGGGAAATGTGTTCGACCTGTAGAAGCAGTTCAAGCTGCAGACAGACACATTTTGAAGTTTTCCCAAACTGGTTAGCTTGCAGTGTACTGAAATGAAGAATATGTCTCTGAGTACGTGTCAGGAAACTTGCTCATTTTTTACCTTCCAATGTATTATTTTCATAATTGTGCCATCAATTAATGTCTATGTTGTTGATGTTATTAATATTGTGCTAAAATGACACCCTTTGTTATGCACATATACACATATAGAAATGGGGTTACAGAGTGGAGTCCACAACATGCGAGTGTGGAGAAGAGCAAACCACAGAGTACTTATTACAGTGCAGTCTGAGCCCTGCCACATGCACAATGGAGGACCTTCTCACCGCGACACCAGAGGCACTCCAAGTAGCCAACTTCTGGTCAAAGGAAATTTAGTATAATGCCAAGTTTTTTTTTTACTTTGGTTGTGGTTTTCCTGTACATTATAACTGTATTCTCAATTCGCTTCTGACATTATAAATAAACATGTACATATACACAAAAACATATAACACTGTAATTGAACCTCCAACTCCAGAGTCTCATCACTCAACATGTCTTTTTACCTTTAAACCCCACTCTGTGTTTGGTACTTGGGATTCATGGTGACCAGTATACAGACATATTGGTTGCAGAGTTCAGTGTGGTAAGGCATTAATTATATGAAAACATAGAGATAGAAAAAAATGAAAACAGTGAGATTTGTGGTATAATGCCTAAAAGAAATATGTTCAATATTATTACCTCAGTTTAAAGGAAAGTAATACTTCTCCCTGAACTCCTTCTCAGCTCCTAAAAATACTTCAATTCCATAATTTGCACTAACTATCTAACAGACATGCCACTTTGAGTCCCCTTTGAGGAGATAAAGCAGGGCATAAATAAATATGATAATAAAACCTCTGGTTTATATTCTATCCTAGCCCTCCTACCCACAGCATTCTAAGGTTGTGATTGGATGGAAACATCATCATCATAGGTTGTCGCTCGTGGCCAAGTAGAGAGAGATGGGCCAAAACTAAACAAAATGAAGTTCAACAGGGACAAATACTCCACTTAGGCACATCATGAGAAGACAGAAACACATGGAGAAGACAATGATGTTGAGGAAAATGCAAGGAAAAAGGAAGAGGGGCCGACCAAGGGCAAGATGGATGGATGGTATCCTTGAAGTGACTGGCTTGACCTTGAAGGAGCTGGGGGTGGCGACAGCTGACAGGGAGCTCTGGCGTGGGATGGTCCATGAGGTCACAAAGAGTCAGAAGCGACTGAACGAATGAACAACATTCAAAAAACAGGGGAAGGTTATAGTATGAAAGCTGGGTCCAGAAGTCCTGAGTGTTACACTGTTTCTGCTCTGCCCCTTCGGGAGCGCTGTTTACACAACGCAGAACAGAACACTAATATTATAAAAGGAATGTAAGAGCTCTTTAATGGTAAAACCCTAACCCGTACCTGAACCTTTACCTTAACCCTAATCCTAACCCTAACCAAACCATAACCGTAAACCTAAACCCTAACCCTCCCCTCCTTTCTATCCCTTCACCAAATGCAACTACGAAATATATTCTCCCCTTTCCTTATTCACAACCGCCATTGCAGAATTTGCGTAATGCTCGGCACTTCCAGACCCAGCTATCATACTATCACCCAGGGGAATGCCACACAGGAAGCAATCAGGGCCAGCTAACACCTCCCAACAAAGGATTCCCCCAGACAATAAGCAGCCAGACTTTGAAGGTGCAAGGTCATTCAATGCTAATCAAGGTGGCCAATTGCAACATTCACACCTGCCTCAATTGAAGAGAGATATTGACAAGCTGGAATATGTCCAGAGGCAGGTGACTAAAATGATCAAGGGTCTGGCGAACAAGCCCTTTGAGGAGTGGCTTAAAGAGTTGGGCATGTTTAGCCTGAAGAAGAGAAGGCTGAGAGGAGCCATTATAGCTATGTATAAATATGTGAGAGGAAGTCACAGGGAGGAGGGAGAAAGTTTGTTTCTGCTGCCCTGGAGACTGGGATGCAGAACAATGGCTTCAAACTACAGGAAAGGAGATTCCACCTGAACATTAGGAAGAACTTCCTGACTGTCAGCGCCGTTCAGCAGTGGAACTCTCTGCCCGGAGTGTGGTAGAGGCTCCTTCTTTCAAAGCTTTTAAACAGAGGAAGGATGGCATTGCTTTAAATGCAATTTTCCTGCTTCTTGGCAGGGGGTTGGACTGGATGACCCATGAGGGCTCTTCCAACTCTATGATTCTATGATTCGAAAGATTCCTCCAGGCAGGAAGCAGCCAGACTTTGAAGCTGCAAGGCCATTCAATACTACTCAAGGTGGCCAATTGCAACATCCACACCTGCCTCAAGCAGACATGAGTTCTTTCTCTCACCCTGGACATTATTCCACAGGTATATGAATAAACCCCACTTGCCTAGTTTCCAACAGACCTCACAACCTCTGAGGATGCCTGTCATAGATATGGGCGAAACGTCAGGACAGAATGTTTCTGAAACATGGTCATACAGCCTGTAAAACTCACTGCAACCCACTAGCATCTGCTTTCGCAACTGAGGGCAAGATGGAAGCATCGCGGCTGGCTTCAGGGGCTCCTTCTGCGCATGCCCGCTCTCCCGGAAGCGCCCCTGCATTGGATACGCTGTTCTGCTGCGTAAATACAAGAGGGAGACCGAGAGAGAGAGAGCGTGCACGCGATGGCCACGTTCTTCGGGGAAGTGGTGGCCACACGATCCCGCGCAGGGCTGGACGAGGAAGAGGAGGAAGAGGAGGCTGCCGCCCAACGCCAGGAGACGCCGGAGGACCGCCAGATCCGCCTCGCCCTCCAGGAGAAAAGGTAGACCGGGATTGGGGAGGGGGGAGGATTGCATCCACCCACACTGTAGAACTGATGCAGACTGACCCTGCTGTGGGATCATTTGGATTGCAGTTTGGAGAAGCTCCAGCACTCTTTCCCAAAGAAAGGTAAAGACCTTGTGAAACTAGAGCTCCCAGGAACCCATTGCATTGAGCCAGGGCAGTCCAAGTGGGGTCAAACCGTGTAGATCAGTTCTGGGTGGACTTAAGCGGCCGAGGGGGAAAAGGAAAGGGCCTGAGACGGTTAGGAATGGTGGGAGTTGGAGTCCAAAACACCTGGAGGGCCCAAGTCCACCCAGGCCAGGTGTAGATGCACCTAAGGAGGACATCTAGCCCCACCTTTCTGAAATCTGCAGCCCCAGAGCATGTGCAGAGTGCATGCTGAATCATTGCAGCCTCCTCTCCATCTCTACGTATATCTAGAACTTTTGTCAATGCTACTTTTACAAGTTGGGTATCCTTTGCCTGAAATGTTTGGGTTTTGGGTTTTTGCAATACTTGCATTTGCATATGAGTACAAAAAATGAGATATCTTGGAGTTTGTGCCCCAATCTAAACACAAAATTTATTTCTGCTCCATATATATCTTATGCACCTAGCATGATTTCACATAGTATTTTATTTTATTCAGGGAGGTTCACCTTGCCTGGAATCCGGGACTGAAGGCCTCTCTGGAAGAGCAGCTTCCTTGCTCAAAGTTCATCTTGGCTGTGGGTCAGAACGCAGTAGGTAAGCAATAGTATTCATTTCTTTGCTTGCTTTCATTGTTTAACCCACTATGAACCCCTTGTAGAGCAAGCATGGGCAAACTTTCTGAATTGGGGGCTGCATGTTAGCACTCTGTTAAGAGGACTGGCTGCCCAGTGATGGATGGAAAGAAAGAACGAAGGAAAGAGAGAAGGAAAGAAGGAGGAAATGGAGGGAGGGAAGGTTGGAAAGAGAAAGAGGGAGGGGGAGGGAGGGAAGGAAGGACAAAAGGAAGCAAATGATGGAAGTAGGAAGTGAAGAGGGAAGGACAAAAGGATGGAAGGAAAGAATGATGGAAGAAGAAAGAGGGAGGTAAGGAACTAAGGGAGGGAGGTAAGAAGGAAGGGAAGAGAAGGAAGGAAGGACAAAAGGGTGGAAGGGATGGAAGGAGAAAGGGAGGTAAGAAGGAAGGAAAGAGAGAGGAGGGAAGACAAAAGGGAGGAAGAGAAAGATGGAAGGACGAAGGGAAGGATGGAAGGAAGGGAAAGGGAAAGAAAAAGAAGGATGGGGGAGGTAAGGAACTAAGGGAGGGAGATAAGAAGGAATGGAAGAGAGAAGGAAGGAGAAAGTAGGAAAGAGGGGAAGGATGGAAGGAGAAAAAGGGAGATAAGGAGGAAGGAAAGAGAGAAGGAAAGGAAGACAAAAGGGAGGAAGGGAAAGATGGAAGGAGGAAGGAAAAAGAAGGATGGAGGGAGGTAAGAAACTACGGGAGGGAGGTAAGGAGGATGGAAGAAAGAAGGAAGAAAGGACAAAAGGGTGGATGGGAAGAAAGGATGGAAGGAGAAAAAGGAAAGGGAGGGAGGAAGGAAGAAAAGACAAAAGAGAAAGAAGGCTGTAAGTGTGGAAGGGAAGGAAGAAGGGGGGGGAAGAGGGAGGTAACGAAGAGAGGGAGGGAAGGAGAAAGAAAACAGAGAAGGAAGGAAGGAATAGAATTGTGTGAGAGAGGAGGGCCTGAGAAAAGAGCCCAAATGGCCACATCCAGGCCTGGGTTTGCCCGTGCCTGTTGTAGAGTCACTTCCATCAGCTTCAGAGTATCTCCTCAAATAATGTAAACTGTGTACTTGAGGTGTATGGCTACATTGCAAATGTGTTTGATAACAACGTGCCAGACACAACAATGTTCCATAAATCAAATCTGGCTTTGTTTGCAGCATTCTTGTCTTCCTTTGTTTTGAGTTCGGACTCTTGGGAGGTAGTTGGATCTGTCAAATTATGGAATGAGTGGACCAGGACGTCAAACACAACCAAATTCCTTCCAGCAGATTCCTTTTGTTTGTTTTATCGCTTGATTTCCGATCCTACTGTAAGTACCACCTTTTTTTACCTCCTTTCTCCCCAAACAGGGTTTGGAAGATCTTAAGGAACTAAGGTAACTGCTGCTAGCTTAGTATATAATGACCATGATTTGTTAGTATATAATGACCATGATTCCCTAGCTAAGCTGCTAAGTGATGCACCAATGATCCTATTTGCCATGCACTGTAGTGTCTACACTCATATTTAAGTGTTGGAATCCCATACATGTGGTTTGGGACCAGTGTCGGCAACATTGTATATTTTGTTTAGCTCCTGGCTTTTAAAGAGTTATACAGAAATGTGAAGGTCCAGAGAAAGGAACCTAGAACACTAGTGAAGATATCCAAATACCTTTTTGTGTTTTTCCATATGCAGAAATTTTTGATGAATTAATTTTTATTTTAAATATAAATAAAATGTATGAAATGAGTTTACTTGCTGCCCCCCTGACATACATTCTCAAAATGATTTCTAAGCTGATTTGGGCATGATATTGGAAAGGGATTTGCATGTCTTATACAATACAGGACCCATCCAGGTATTTGGCCCAGGAAATCGGGTGTAAATCCAATGGTGGATTATTTTAGCAGATAATGTTTTAACTTATTTTATTTATACCCACAGATGTTATAAGCATTGTATATGAAACCATGTAGATTGAATCCATATCATGGACTTTCTGCTTTTACTGTTTCGAATCTCTGGTCTTAGTATTAAAACTTTAAAAAAACTCTGTTTTTAATGTTTTAAAGTTTTACACTCCTGATCTGTGATGGTAACGGTAACAATAAAATTCATTCAATTGCTAGGGAACCCCTTCAATGAATTTAAAATATTTTTTTCGTGTCATGAGCAACATGGGAAACTGCAAGTTGCTTCTGGTATGCGAGAATTGGCTGTGTGCAAGGGCATTGCCTAAAGGCTGCCTGGATATTTTACCATCCTTTGGGAAGCTTCTCTCATATCCCTGCATGGGAAGCTGGAGCTGACAGATGGGAGCTCACCCCATCTCCCAGATTCAAACCGCTGACCTTTTGGTCAGCAGTCCTCCTGGCACAAGGGTTTAGCCCATTGCACAACCAGGGGCTCCATGATGACTCAATGCGTAAGGGCACCTTTTAAATAGTGCATGTGAAGAAAAAAAGAGATTTGAGGAGTCAGAAGAGTTCAAAGGCCATCAAAAAAGCACTCACTTTGCTGTCCCTGCCTTCAGAATTATCATCATTTATATTGCCAGCTAATAAGGCATTGCAGAAATTCACGAAATTTGTTTTACTACAATTTCCAGGTTTTATTGTGCCAGTGCAATTGTTATGTGGCTGAAGACCAACAATTTCAATGGCTTGAAAAGGTAAGAAGGACAGTGGTAAGTTTTTTGCATAGGTAACATAGAGCGAGGGTCATGTATGCTATTGTTACTGGAGTTGGCAATGTCCTGGTTATATTTCTCATTGAAAGTCAGTTGTGGACTGAGGGTCTGCCACCATGTGAGTTACAGAGAGTGAATGCACTGAGAGGGGAAATTTAGTCTCCAAAAGAACCTTGTGGAGGCTCTCTAAGACTAAGACGTATCAGCACTCTTGTTTCTATAAATGTTAACAGTAAATGTGTGCGTGCCTTCCCAGAAGTAAGTCCCATTGATCTCACTGCTAACTGGGAGAGAAATAAGTTTGAACACTGTGAAAGCCACCCACTGCATGGCTATCAGCCTCCTCCTAGTAGACACAAAGCAAGGAAAAGCTTCATGAGAACCACCACTCTTAATGTTCCCCCAGCAACATCAAGGCTATATCCCTCTGGGTAGCTAAACCAGGAAATCCCAATTGGATGGTCCCCCATGAGGGTCTTCCTCCAGGAGAAACCAAGAACGGGCAACTTGGAAGTCCCTGAACAGACTCAGAAGTGGGCAGATCAAAAGATAACCTGGCAAAATGACTACCTAGAAGAATCCTCCACCTTGTGCGACTACGGAGCAGAACCAACAACTCTGCACCTGTATGCTTGCCCACAATGCCCTGCCTCATATACAAAGGAATAACTGTTTAAAGTTAAAGACAATGTAGTCTCTGTTGCCCCGTTTTGGTCAAAAATTATTTAGCTACTTGTGCTCCCTCTATTTTTGTCAGTTTTATACCTATGTGTGCAATGCTTTGACACAAAATAAATAAACCTCACTGAGGCTTGCTCTTGGATACATTGGCACAGGGTTCATTCTGCGATTTGGCTTCCTGTGTGAATGCCACTTCTCCATGGCTGCTTCCTGCACAGAGGCATTAGAGATGGTTTCACATGGAAGGAATGTGACTAGCATCAGCTACTAGCATGAAATAGCCTCAGTATAGTCACTCTTTTCGCATTTTGTCACACTCACCCTGAAATTTGTAACTTTATTCTAGGTATTTGGATGCCTGCAGAAGACGAATTTGAAAGTATTGGTTCTTTCGTCATGTTCTGTTACAGATTATAAAACACCAGAGTCAATTATAACACTTCCGTCTCCTTTTCTGAAAGCGTTAAAGACAACAGAGTTCAAGGATCAACTCTGCTGCTCACTTCTAGAACAGCCAAATATTGTACGGGATCTTCCTGCGGCAGGTATGGAATCTCTTCCCATAGCAGAAGTCTAAGGAGGGGAAAATAAGCCATCGTGCAGTAGCAAAATAGCTCCCTGCCAAACTCGGCTCATAGGCCACCTACACATTTAGTAGCTTGTTTCCCTCTGTGTTTCCCTTTTTACCATTATTACTTTTTTTCCAATAGCATTATTACTTACTTTCCAATGGGAGGGAAGGATGTGAGTCTCTGTGGGTGGAGCATAATGCATGATCCCATCCTGAAGTAGCAAAATAGCTCCCTGCCCAACTCAGCTCATAGGCCACCCACATATTTAGTACCTTATTTCCCTCTGTGTTTTCTTTTTTTTTCCACCTGTTACTATTTATTTTCCAATAGAACAACATTGTCTTATGTCTTAGTGGGAGGGAAGGATGTAAGTCTTTGTGGGTGGAGCGTAATGCATGATCCCGCCTATAAAGTGTCACAAAATGTGTGTTCAATCTGATTTGTTGGGCATTTCATGTTTTTGTCTTATTTTCTCATACAAGAGCAAGTGAATGATCATTTTTGCCTTTTCTCTCCCCTGCCCTTGTTGTGCCCAGTTCTCAGTTACTGCCAAGTGTGGCAGATCCCTGCAGTGCTTTATCAGTGTTACACTGATGTCCTCAATCTGGATGTGGTAGCAGTTGATGCTTTCAAGCCGGTTCTTTCTTCCAGAATCCTAAAGAGTTTGGTCAAGGTAAGACTTAATTACTTGGTCTTATTTCAGACTGCCTGAGCTATTGGGCATTTTATCAAAATGACCATTGCTTTGAAGAAAACTTAGATTAATGTAAATTTATGGAAAGTGCTTTTTAGCAGTTACAACTTAAAAGAGATAGTTCCATACAGAGCCAAGCTGGCTTTTGGAAGGAAAAAAAATGCTAAAGGCAGTATGCAAATATTTATAGTGACTTGGGAGCATGAATGTGAATGGATTCTGCTGTGCAATCAGCCCTCTTCTCTCTCTAGGGTTTAGAGGTACAAATCCCTGTGAAATGAAAAATCTCAAAGAAATTGCTGTTTTTCACTTGAGAGAATACCTCCCTGGGAATTTCTAGATTTTCCAGCACAACTTCATGGTCAACTTTGGCTGGAATTGCATTTGAGGACCTAAAGATTCCTAGAGAGACGTTCTCTCTAGAAATCTCTAGATCCTCCAGCAAAATTGAAGGACATTGACCATAAAGCCATACTGGAGGACTTTAAAATGTTGCATCTAGGAATATCTAGCAATGGTATTCCCCATAGTCACCAATGATGTGAGAGCTGGACTATAGGGAAGGCTGAGCGAAGGAAGACAGATGCTTTTGAACAGTGGTGCTGGAGGAAAGTTCTGAGAGTGCCTTGGACAGCGAGAAGATCCAACCAGTCCATCCTCCAGGAAATAAAGCCCGACTGCTCATTGGAGGGAAGGATAGTAGAGGCCAAGATGAAGTACTTTGGCCACATCATGAGAAGAAATGAAAGCTTAGAGAAGACAATTGTGCTGGGGAAAATGGAAGGAAAAAGGAATAGGGGCCGACTAAGGGCAAGATGGATGGATGGCATCCTTGAAGTAAACTGATTGACCTTGAAGGAGCTGGGGGTGGTGACAGCCAACAGGGAGCTCTGGCGTGGGCTGGTCCATGAGGTCACGAAGAGTCGGAAACAACTGAAAGAATGAACAACAACAACAACAAAGGAATATCTAACCAAATCCATTAATAATTGAATTAGCAAAAGTAAAAACTCAAATCTTGAGAAACAACTGTACTTCACTCCTGCTGATGGGCCTTTCAAAGGCAATTGATTGGCCTCTGTGTTTACAGAAATTCTGGATTACCTGTATATACTCAAGTATAACCCAACCCGAATATAAGCCAAGGCACCTAATTTTACCACAAAAAACTGGGAAAACGTATTGACTCAAGTATAAGCTGAGGGTGGAAAATGCAGCAGCTACTGGTAAATTTCAAAATAAAAATAGATTCCAATAAAGTGACATTAATTGAAGCATCAGTAGGGTAAATATTTTTGAGTATTTACATTAAACTAGAATTTAAGGTAAGACTGTCCAACTTGAATTAAACCATTATTCTAACCTTCAGTGTAAATGTGCTTACGTAGCCTTCCAATAATAATAAAGTAAAATAATAAAAATAAAAATAGAGTAAAACAATGGAAATGTAATAACAACAGTAATAGAGTAAAATAATAAATGTAATAATAATAATAGAGTAAAATAATAAATGTAATAATGACAATAATAACTAGAGTAAACTAATAAATGTAATAATAACAATAATAGAGTAAAATAATAAATGTAATAATAATAGTGTAAAATAATACATGTAATAATAACAACAACAACAGAGTAAAATAATAAATAGCCTTGATTTGAGTATAAGCCCAGGGGGACTTTTGTAGCTTAAAAAAGGGGCTGAAAAACTTTGCTTATACTTGAGTATATATGGTAGTTATATCTTTGGCTCATTTAATCGTGGCTGCTCTTATATTCAGGCCCCCAGGAGCTGTCAGTTTGGAACATATTTCATGAATACTCTGGCATTTCCTAGCTCTCACAAACACCAGGATTCCTTCAGAGAAAGATACGAAGGACTGTTAATGTCAACCAATTGGTATCTTACACTTGAAAAACGCCCTCACCATTGAGATACAGCTCCAGTATTAAGAATGAGCTGCACGTGGCCTTCCTTGCACAGAACTCCCAGCTCTATAGAACAGTACAATCATCCTGTAGGGTCAAGCAACAAATGTGGTAGCGCTCGAGGGCTGGAATGGCACTCTCCTAGTTTCTCTTCCAACAGATAGCATACGTGGGCGGTGCTCTGTTTTGTCCTTTTTCTGCCAAGCAGCACCTGGTTGGGTTGTTTATGGAATGTTAGAGAAAATATCCTGGCTATCCAGCCCTGGTTGCAAAATGTAATTTTGATAAAACTGTGTTGCAGAATGCTTAGCTTCTTTTAAAAGTTGCTGAATAACGTTCCAGATCACTGTGGTATTTATTGTATTTATCATAATTAGTTCTAAAAAATTCAAGGAGGGCCAGCTCTTCCATTGTTGTGGTATCTAGCAGGAACTGGACACAGATGGCATCTGCTGGTTTTCATACATGAATCTTTTAGATTTCAGACATGACTGATAAGTGCATGTCTTTTTTTTTCTATTACAGAGGCCTTTCTTTCCTCTGCCCCAACATTCATAAAACTGAGAGTGAACTAGTTGGGTGATCAGAAGTTGTTCATATACTGAGTCTTATTTTTGTTTTTTATTTTACTTAGGACGTTACAAGAAGCACAGAACTACTGACAAAGTTGATGACAACAAATGAGATTCACAACATCTACACTTAAAATGGGCATTGTCTCCAAGTCTGATTAACCATCAGGATTTGTAAAATGCAGCTGCTTTGCTTGGAAGCATGGGACTTATCACTGTAGAGCACATGAGCTTTGTACCTAGTGTTAACTGCTAAGTGGAGATTTTTATTCACTAAAATGTATTAAAATGTTACTTTTTCATTTTTCACAAGCTGGAACTTTGTTTTTTCCCCTCTCATACAAGTAAAAGAACACTTTTTCTCCTGGAGGACAAATTATATCATGTTACAGCAATGGCCCAATTTCCCTAAAAGGTGCCTGCAAGAAATTCCCAGTTATACTCTCTATCTTTAAAAGAAGAAAATCCTACAATAATGTCAACATAAATCAGAGTCAATTTATAGGCTTCGAACAAGAAATAGCAAGTGCACATGAGGAAGCCACTATTGGCTATGGGCCTCCTGACATGGAAGCAAGATGAATACAAGGTTCTCCAGATGTCATTGGTTGTGTTGTTTCCGAATTGGATAATGATAGGGCAGGCAAGAAGGTGGCAGAAAAAGAAGTAGCGTGGATCTCAAGAGAGCAGGCACCAGAGGTCTGAAAAGGATAACTATGGAAATATTCAGGCTTCAGCAAGATGAGAGGGACCTTGAGGAAAAGATGCCCCAGTTAAGTAAATGCAGGTGCTCACTGTTATATATATGCTGAGAAGGGGGCACTGTGGCACAGCGGGTTAAACTGCTATGCTGCAGAATTTACTGATCGGAAGGTTGGTGGTTTGAATCCAGGGAGTGGGGTAAGCTCCCGCTGTTAGACCCTGCTTCTGCCAATCTAGCAGTTTGAAAACGCATATGTGAGTAGATTGATAGGTATTGCTTCTGCAGGAAGGTAGCAGCGCTCCATGCAGTCATGCTGACCACATGACCAGGAAGCATCTATAGACAATGCTGGCTCTTCGGCTTAGAAAAGATGAGCACCACCACCCCACCCCCCCCACCCCCCGAGTCAGACTCGACTAGACTTAATGTCAAGGGAAAACCTTTATATCCTGAGATCTAGGAAATGTGTGCCACAAGCCCCCTGTTTCCCAAGACCATTTATATCCTAGATCACTTTCAGAGTTTAAGAGGTCACTTTCTGTTGTTAAAATTTGTGTTTTCTGGGTTTTAAATAGCCCAGAGAGAGCAAAAAACATGCCCAGCTCTCTGTGCCACCACTACCTAAACCATATTGTAAAACTTGAAGTGGAAACTTTTAATGTGAAGTCCTCTTAGATCTTCTAAATGACCTATATTGCCCCCCTAACACCTCATAATTTCCCATCACCCATCTATCTATCTATCTATCTATCTATCTATCTATCTATCTATCTATCTATCTATCTATCTATCTATCTATAAATGCTCTGTGCATAATGAGTACCTTAAAGACAAAAAAACCAATGAACGAAATCACACCAAATTCGGCAACAAAATGTCTCACAACACAAGGATTGACCATCACTCTAAAATTGTGATTTTGTCATTTGGGAGTTGTGGTTTCTGGGATTTATAGTTCACCTAAATCAAAGAGCATTCTGAACTCCATCAACAATGGAATTGAACCAAACTTGGCACACAGAACTCCCATGAACAAGAGAAAATACTGGAAGGGTTTGGTGGGCATTGGCCTTGAGTTTGGGAGTTGTAGTTCACCTACATCCAGAGAGCACTGTGGACTCAAACAATGATGGCTCTGGACCAAACTTGGCACAAGCACTCAATACACCCAAATATGAACACAGATGGAGTTTGGGGAAAATAGACCTTGATATTTGGGAGTTGTAGTCACTGGGATTCACAGTTCACCTACAATTAAAGAGCATTCTGAACCCCACGAATGACAGAATCGGGGTAAACTTCCCACACAGAACCCCCATGACCAACAGAAAATGCTTAAGGCCATCCAGTCCAACTCCATCAGGGCAAGAAAACGTAATCCAAGTCCTGACAAAGAGCCATCCAGCCATAGATATAGAGATAGATGGATGGATGGATATGATTCACACAGAGAGACAGATATAGTATCATAGATTTGAAAGGGACCCCTAAAGAAGAACAATGATATGCTGCATGTTCCAGGGTGGGCAAACCAGACACTCTCAACACTGACAAAGAAACAGCAAGAAATACGGTTTACCCACAAGCATAAAGAAATTACATAGATTAGAAACCAACACTTTCTCATTACTTTATTTTCCAGATCAACAGACTGGGCCACAGCAACATGTGGCAGGGGACAGCTAGTATTTATATAGATAGATAAGGTCTAAATACCCTAAAGGCACTGGGTCCCATCGGATCTTGGATGATAGGCAGGGCCAATCCTGCCCATGTGCATGGGAGACCACAAAGAGATGCCAGGTGCTGCAGGGATTATTTCAGAGGAAGGAACTGGCAAAACCACTTCTTAAGCATTCCTTTTCTAAGAAAACCTAGTGAAATTTATCAGTCAAATTTATAAGTCAACAGGCACATAGATACATCATTATGTAGTTTCATATGTATTTTATTAGAGTGGCACAGTAGCTGTCCTAAACATAATTGTCACTGTGTAAGATGCATTGAACTCGGGTGGATTAAACAAGGGCATTGCCCCCTTAAATAAGAATTCTGTCTCTCATTTTTCCTTCAGTCCTCATAATTTTAGCTTTGCTCAAAATGAGATGTCTTCTATTCGCTTTTTAACTTTGTACTTTTTATTTTACATCTAAACTGTATGTCTGAAGACAGAGCTGAAGTTTTAAGTTGCACTAATAATAGAAATTCGGGAACTAAAAACAAATTTCATAAAGGCAGAATTCTTACTTTTGCATTCTGCCCTCCCTGTAACCTCACCCTGAGTCCTACTTCAGCCTTTATAGGTTCAGGTATAACACAGTGTAAAACACAGTGAGCTTTGACCAAGATGTTTAGTCATCTGAAACTTTAGCTTGTATCAAGGAAAGGAATCAATTGTAGAAGTAATACATGTTTACATGGTTAAATAGAAGCAGCAACTCAGAGCCCTTCCACACAGCCATATAACTCAAAATATCAAGGCAGATAATCGACAATATCTGCTTTGAACTGGGTTACCTGAGTCCACACTGCCATATAATCCAGTTCAATGTGGATTTTATACAGCTGTGTGGCAGGGCCCTCACTCATACAAGCAAGAAGATACATATTTTGCTCAGTCTATGATTTTATATTTGACAGTCACAGATAATAATAAATCATAGATTATGTTATTGCTATTAAATACAGCAAAGTGGGTCTGTTTCATACTCTTTTCATCTCAATTGTTCGTATTTTAGTTATTTGTGTCCTTGTACAGTATTTCTTTTATACTGTAAATTACCTTGAATCCCAGTCTTGGAGAAAAGAAGAGATACAAATAAAGCAATGAATGGATGGATTGAAAACAATGTAATAAATTCAATAGTAATGTAACATAGGCATTATTACAAACAAATTAATAAGAAAAATGCAACATAATATACAACTGTAACATAGTGGTAACTCTGTGCTATACAAATGAAAAGACAACAGAGCACAGCAGTAATTTCCTGAAGATCAGGGGCTTTCCTGTTCAAAATATAGCATAATTGCCCCAAACCAATATTGTTCAGCCCTGGGAGACTATAACCAGTAAACTATTCAAGACCGGGTTGTTGTAGGTTTTTTCGGGCTATATGTCCATAAGCCTTCGACAATATATTCAAGACCTGCTTTCAAGTTCCCACTGCATATGGACATCTACACTGTCATACAAAAGAGACTGGGGTCTAGCATATAGACGATTATACTACATGCAGATTGTAGTTTAAGGCATATATGTAAGTTAAATTAAGTTTTTATTATATATTTTGAATCGAGGAGCTATAGAAGGAAAATGGTTTCTGATGAAGATCATAAACAGTTTATATTGTGCTCTTTTTTACTTGTAGAAGAGAGTGTACAAATATGGTATTACTGTTACCCTGGACTTTTCTTTATTTGCAATGTCTGGTTTTCTTTATTTGTCATGTTGTGCCAGTAAACTCTGTTCTGTGTATGATTATCACAGATTATAATAATATATCATTTGTCTTATAAAACACATTGTGACATGTATTGGACATTGTTCTGATTAAAATTTTGTGGCATGTCACTAACAGTTTTACAGAGTTTTTACAGAGTTAGGGTTGCCATTGATTGTTTTCCTAAAAGCAGGTATAATTGCTCCTATTTATAACAGACATTACAACAGGCAGTCCCTAAGTTACAAACATCTAATTTACAAATGACTCATAGTTAAGAATGGGGATGACACAACAGAAAGTGAGAGAAATCTACCCCTCGGAAGGGAAATTCCCTCCTGGAAGAGTTATGGGGAAAAAGTGTCGCTACTTAAGTTTACTCACCAATCCTTTTCCCATAACAAGCGTTTTTGTTTTTTTTTTCCAAAATCCAGTTCACACAGAGACAGAAAGTGAGGTGAAATCTTCTGAATGGGTACAGACAGCAAAACAAACACCATGGGGTGTTAAGGTAAAAAGATATAAATATTAAAATGCACCTGTTCCAGCTTACATAAAAATTAAACTTAAGAATAAACCTACAGAGACTATCTTGTTGGTAAATAAGTCAGTGGAGATGACTGAGAATTCTAAAAATTTGATTCTGATAACAGTATACACAAACTCGCAAAGGTTTTCAGAAATCCGATGGAGAAAACATGAGATGTAGGGCTCTTTCAGAGTTAAAGTGCTATAATTCTGCTTTCACTGGCTGCATCCTATGGAATCCTGTGCTTCTTAGTTGGATGATGCACTAGAGCTCTCTGGCTAGAGTTCTAAACACTCTCCTTAAACTGGTAATCCTAGCATTTCAAAGGATGTTGCCATGGTAGTGAAAGTGAGTTCTGTGAAAAAGTAAAAAGGGGCAAATGTGGCAAGAAGTAAAACTGACAGATTTGTCTGTCTTTTATAAGGTGTCTGCATTCTGTATACCATTGGGAGAAGTGGAACCGGGAAAGAAAGTGGGTACAGATTCAAATGTAAAAGCATATCACCAAGTTAAGATCATCCATGCCACAGTATTTATGATTTCTATACACAGTTGTGAAAATTGGACAGACAGCGAAGAAAAACAACAGGAAGACGATCAACTCATCTGAAATGTGACGCTGTATGATAATTCTAAATAATGTCATGGAACTACTAAAAAGGCATACTAATGCATCCTAGAAGAAAGAACGAAGGTCCTTTCTACACAACTGTATAAAATGCCACATTATCTTCTTTGAACTGGGTTATTGAGACTGACCGGGCCGGGGGGGGGGGAGGGGGTTGGGTGAGACTGCCTCCCCCCCCCCCCCCCCCCCCACTTTGCCCTGCCATTGAGTCGCCTGTTAAGGGCTGAAAAATGTGGTATAGAAATAAAGCAAATAAATAAATAAATAAATAAATATGGCAGTGTGGACTCAGATAATCCAGTTCAAAGCAGATACCGGAGGATTTTCTGCCTTGGTGATGATGATGATGATGATGATGATGATAATAATAATAATAATAATAATAATAATAATAATAATAATACATCACACAGTCTTAGACGCTTGGGAAGTGTTTGACTTGTGATTTTGTGATACGAAATCCAGCATATAGATTTCGTTTGCTGTGCCGTACTGTGTTTTTGTGTCAATAATACTTTATTTGTATTCCGCCGTATCTCCCCAAGGGGACTCAGGGTGAATTCCAGCATACACAAAACACAGGCAAACATTAAAAGGCTTGAAAATACAAATACACAGACAAAGACAAAGGCTTCCCCTTTCATCTCTGGCTCTTAGGGCAGTACCAATCTCTGACTCTGGGGGAGGTGCTCGTCATTTGTTGTCCGTAGACACCTCCTGGTCATGTGGCTGGCATGTCTGCATGGAGCACCTTTTACCTTTCCCCTGAGGCGATACCTATTGATATACCCACATTTGCATGTTTTTGAACTGCTTGTTTGGCAGGAGCTAGGGCTAACAACGGGAACTCATCCCGGCCCACGGATCTGAACTGCCAACCAGTCAGCAAGTTCAGCAGCTTCAATGGTTTAACCTGTTGCATCACCATGGCCCAATTCTGGGTTATATGGCTGTGTGGAAGGGCCCTAAGATGACTAAAGTGAGGCTATTGTATGTTGGATAGAAGATAACAAAAGTCATTGGGAAAGAGGGTATTGCTTAAGTGGAAAGCAGTAGGGGGGAAAGGGACCGCACTAAAAGTGGAGTGATTCAATCAACGCAGCTACAGTCCCATGTGGCCTCTGGTTCATAGGATCACCATAAATTGAAGTGGACTTGATGTCAAATAACAGCAACAGAGTGGAGACCAATTTATGAATGGGACTTACAAATACTACATGAAATAATCTGCAATTATGGTGGCCTTGTACTTGAACATAGAAGCCAACATTAGCATTTAATAGCAGTTTTAAAATGTTAGATTTAGACATTTATTTTTGAATAAAGGCATTGATTTTGCTTTGTACTTTTGGATCACAACTCTTGCCTTCTTGCAACTTCACACCATAACATGTCTGGCATTCAGCTGAAAAGAGTAATCTAGGAACAGCTTGAATAAATGTATTAAATGAATAAATGATTAAATTATGTGGTTTGCCTTGCCAAACATGTGGGTTATTTCTTTGAAAATGAAATCTTCTCTGTAAAATAGCAGGGGGAAAAATCATTGTATTTGTCAGCTTGCAAATATTTCCTTTAAAAAAATAATTATATTTCAGCAGAGAGAGAAGCTGTTTACACCTCAATTTATTGCCAAAAACATACTGGCACCGGACTTCCATTCGCTTTCAAAAATACTTACATTTATTTCTAAGGGTCCTTCCACACAGCCATATAATCCAGAATATCAAGGCAGAAAAACCCACAGTATCTGCTTTGATCTGGGATATCTGAGTCCATACCACCATATATTCCAGTTCAAAGCAGACAATGTGGGATTTTATTCAGACAAATGGAAGGCGTCTTAGATATTAAGAAATTAACCCGGGGAAGCTATGCCTGCCATTAGGGATAGAATCCCTTCAAAAAGTGTCCAATTTCAATCTCAATATGGTGGAGTGAAATTTGGAATATTTAATACAAAAGCTCTCCCATATCATCAAAATATCTAAAGGAATTAACAATGCCTTATTGTAGTGCTTTGGATGTCGTTAACATGAGCAAGAAAAAAGGAGGCCACCCTTTCACCAAACAGACTTCTGGCGAGGCCTCTTCAATATCAGCCTAAGCTGAACAATCAAACTCAGTGTTCAAACCAGATTGCAAGATAGGGATTTCCTTTCATTATATTCAGACGCAGAGTGCATCTTCACTGTGGAACTCAGGCATTTGGGCAACTCTTTAACTGCCAGAGCTCAATGCTATGGGATCCTGGGAGTTATAGTTTGGTGAGTCATCCGAATTCTTTGGTACAAGTGAAAAGACAGTGTAAAACCTCTATTTCCTATCACAGAGCCATGGCAGGTAAGCCGATACCAAACGACATTCATTCTGGGTTGTGTTGAATTTTCCAGGCTGTATGGCCATGTTCCAGAAGCATTCTCTCCTGACATTTCACCCACATCTATGGAAGGCATCCCCAAGGATTGTGAGGTCTGTTGGAAACTAGGCAAGTGGAGTTTATATATCTGTGGAATGTCTAGGGTGGAAGCTTCCCACACCCCTCCACAGCCAGAATAGGAACTTCCATGTCCATAGGCAGAGAAAGAGACAAAGCCGGGCCCTTCCACACAGACATATAACCCAGAATATCAAGACAGAAAATCCCACAATATCTGCTTTGAACTGGATTATCTGAGTCCACACTGCCATGTATTCCAGTTCAAAGCAGAAAATGTGGAGTTCTATTCAGCTGTTTGGAAAGGGCCCCAGTATCCAAATCCCATTTGGGACTGCTGCCTCCTTAATCTCCAAAGGCTTCGAAAGTTTGGGTTGTTGTGGTGTTTTCTGGGCTGTATGGCCATGTTCCAGAAGCATTATCTCCTGTTGTTTCTCCTACATCTATGACAGGCATTCTCAGAGGTTGTGAGGTTGTGTTGGAAACTACGCAAGTGGGGTTTATTCATATATCTCTGGAATGTCCAGGGTGGGAGAAAGAACTCTTGTCTGTTGGAGGTAGGTGTGAATGTTGCAATTGGCCACCTTGATTAGCTGCTTCCTTCCTGGGGGAATCCTTTGTTGGGAGGTGTGAGTTGGCTCTGATTGTTTCATGAAAAGCTTAAGGGGCTGAGGGGGAAAAGAAAGAGCCCGAGGCTGTTAGGAATTGTGGGAGTTGGAGTCTAAAACACCTGGAGAGAAGGCCCAAGTGTGCCCATGCCTGGTGTAGATGAACCCAGAGACCAGAAAAGTTTAGATAGCAGGAAAGTGCAGACCTCACAACCTCTGAGGAAGCCTGCCACAGATGCAGGTGAAACGTCAAGAGATAATGCTTCTAGAGCAGGGATCCTCAAACTAAGGCCCGGGGGTCAGATATGGCCCTCCAAGGTCATTTACCCAGCCCTCACTCAGGGTCAACCTAAGTCTGAAAGTACTTGGAAGCAAACAACAACAACCCTATCTCATCAGCCAAAAATAGCCTCACACTTCCTATTGAAATACTAATAAGTTTATATTTGTTAAAATTGTTCTTCATCTTAATAATTGTATTGTTTTTAAGTGGGTTTTTTTTGCACTACAAATAAGATATGTGCAGTGTGCATAGGAATGCATTCATTTTTTTTTCAAATCATAATCCGGTTCTCCAACAGTTTGAGGGACTGCGACCTGGCCCTCTGTTTAAAAAGTTTGAGGACTCCTGTTCTAGAGCATGGCCATACAGGCCGAAAAACCTACAACAACCCAGTGATTCCGGCCACGAAAGCCTTCGACAAAGTTCAGAAAAGTTTCTCTAGCGGACGGGGTGACGTCAAAGGCAGGCAGGCAGGCAGCCCTCCCTGACGGCCTGGCCTGGGCTGGCCTCCAAGTTGCTCCAGGAGTTGCTGAGCTGTGGATTCTCTGGGAGGAAGTGCTTTCCCCGACCCTCACTTGGTCCTGCCTTTTGCTCTCCTCTCAGGACTTTTTCCGGAGGGGAGGGGAGGGGAGGGGAGAGAGGCGGGGGAAACCGGCCGATTGCTCCACTTGCCGTCTGGGCAGAAACTCCTCCCCGCCGAAGTCACAGGATCGGAACCCTTTCTCCGTGGAGGAGAGAGAGAGAGAGAGAGAGAGAGAGGAGCGTGGGCCATGGCGAAGGCGGTGCGGTTAATACTTTTGGCGGCGCTGCTGGAGAAGGTAAGCCCGGATCGGACCTGAGTAGCCTTTCAAGGGAGGCCAAAAGTGCTCTCATTCCGCAGTGGAGGTGCGCCTCTCCTCCTGGGTGACTCTCCCCCCGCTCCCGCGAAAGAGACCTGTTTCCCTGAAAATGGAGAAGGCTTTGCGCCCTGGGCCGGCCTCCCTTCCCAGCCCCCTTGTTTCCTCCTCCTCCTCTCCCCTAACTTTGAGACTCAAAGGGAAAGGAAGACCTTTCTTCGGTAGCTTTGGCGCCGCAAACCTTTTTCTTTACTTTGTCCTCTGCTGACTAACCCGGAGATTTCCCTTTTTTTGTTTGCTTGCTTGTTGTTTTCTAACCGGAAATTGGGTTTTTGCTTTTTCTACAAATCAGTGGACTTTGACACCACTTTTAAATGACATTGTTCATCGTTGGGAAACTCTAGGATAGTTTTGGAGGATCTTTAATGTGAAGGAATGCTCAGCAGGCTCGCCAAACCCAGGTTGCCATTGCACTGCGCTATGGCGGCCAAAGGGCATTCATTCTACAGTCTGGTTCAGGCCCATTGCCAGGATTTTGATGGGGGGGGGGGGGCTGGGGATCTACCCTAGCAAACCTTTTGTATCATTATCCCAATACTCGTATGCATATGGGATATATTGAGCATGGTGATCAGATCATGATATGAATAAACATAACAGTTTAAATAATGTACCAGTAAGGGGGGGGGGTGAAGCCCCTCAAGGCCCCCCCCCTCCCCCCAGCTACAAGCCTGGTCTGGTTGCACACAAAAGAGAAAGGAAGAAAGAGTCTTTGATAATTTGTTTTTCAGGTGTCTTTCTCGGCCTTTCTCTCCTATGGATAAGCCTAATAATAATAATGCAGCAGAATTGAGAGAAGCAACTGGAAAAGCTTTTTTTTTTTTTTTTTTGTCATGTCAGGAGCAACTTGAGAAACTGCAAGTCGCTTCTGGTGTGAGAGAATTGGCCGTCTGCAAGGATGTTGCCCAGGGGATGCCCAGACGTTTTGATGTTTTTACCATCCTTGTGGGAGGCTTCTCTCATGTGTCCACATGAGGAGCTGGAGCTGATAGAGGGAGCTCATCCGCACTCTCCCCGGATTCGAACCTACAACCTGTCGGTCCTCAGTCCTGCTGGCACAGGGGTTTAACCCACTCCACCGCCACTGGAAAAGCTTACACAATATGAGGATTTAAAGTTCAAGCTGCAAAGACTGGCACAGGCCAGTAAAGGTGGTCCCAGTGGTTATTGGCACAGTGGGTGTAGTGCTTAAAGACCTTGACCTGCACTTAAAAACAATTGGCACTGACAAAATTACCACCTGTCAGCTGCAAAAGGCAACCCTACTCGGATATGCACGCATTATTTGCCAATACATCACACAATCCTAGACACTTGGGAAGTGTCCGACGTGTGATCAAATACAACAGCTAGCATAGTAGTTGTAGTACATTTTATTGATTAGACCTTAGGCCATATCACAATACCAAACCAAACAAAAAGGCTTGATAAAACGTGATTCATTCTATATCAGGCATCCTCAAACTGCAGCCCTCCAGCTGTTTGGGCCTCAAACTCCCAGAAGCCCAAACAAGCTTGTTCAATTGCTAGGAATTCTGGGAACTGAAGGCCCAAACAGCTGGAGGGCTGCAGTTTGAGGATACCTGCTTAATATAGTAAGTTAAGTCAAGCACTTACAACAACACAGTAAATAAACATGATAAAACTGAATATATACATCAGAGAATCATAGAGTTGGAAGAGACCTTGTGGGCCATCCAGTCCAACCCCCTGCCAAGAAGCATATTTATGTATCACCCTTACAATTCACCCCAATCAGCCCCACATATGTGGTTCTCAGATGTATTGAAAAGCCAGCATAGTGATCTTGGTTGCTGTGTACTAATCTTGTTATGTATATAATAATAATAATAATAATAATAATAATAATAATAATAATAATAATAATAATGCTTTATTTATAACTGGCTCTACCACCCCAAAGGGACTCAGGGTGGCTTCCAGCAAAATAAAACACAGTGGCAAACATTCAATGCCAATAGTAACATATAACAAAGACAGACTCAATAAAATTAAAGTAACAACTCAAAATCAACAAATGTGATACACCTCAAACTTTGCAACATAATAAGTTCTTTAAAACACTTTAAGAATTGATTAAAAGTAATTGGGGCTAAGATGGCATACAGCTTACAAATGTAGGTAAGTGTCCGAAGATTTCACTGTTTGTGTTATTTCCTAACCTGGAAAAGAAGCCCAAGATACGTACTGTGTTTTTTAAAACCCCTGCACTTTGTCAGGGCAAGGGTAAGAAAACTTCAAGGGAAGGTGAAAGCAAACTCGCTCTGAACAAATCTGAGCAAGAAAGCCCAGGGAGAGGTTCACCATAACTTGGAAACAAGAAAGGCCACAAGATCAAGGAAGCAGGAGGACTACAACTCCCACCATGCCTTGCCATTGCCCAGACTGGCAAAGTATGATGGGAGCTGCACCTGGAGGGCCAAGTTCTCTGCTTCTGACACACCCAGGGCTGCAGCGCCTGCGTTGAATGGTTTTGGAGTCTTTTCAAGGCTTTTATTTCCTGGAGGCAAAAGTGTCTGAACATAATGTGGCATGTTTTTCACTCTGAAAGCAAGTTGTTTATCTTTTCTTGATAAAGTTCAGCTGTGTGTGGAGTGAGAGGAGTATCCTGCACTCTACACAGTTTCAAAACTTTGATACTACAACCAGTCTCCAAGTTACAAAACAAGATAGGTTCTGTTGGCTTAAGTTGAATGTGTATGTAAGTCGGAACAGGTACACTTTTAAGTGTAACTCCAACCAAAAATGTATATATTTTCAGCTTTGGATAGCATAGTGAAGGATTAACACCCCCGTGGCATCTGATTTGCAGTCTGTGCCCCAGCCCTGTTCAGAGAATTTCACCTCACTTTCTGTCCCTGTGATAATTGTATGTTTAATGTTTTAGTGTGATTTAGAAATATGATGTTTTAATGACGTTCTGTAATATTGATGTTGGAAACTGGCCCGAGTCCCTCAAATGGAGGTGAGAAGACCGGTATACAAAACTACCAAATAAATAAATAATGTTTGTATGACATTGAATTATTGCCAATTATGGAGCCCCCGGTGGTGCAGTGGGTTAAACCCTTGTACCAGCAAGACTGAAGACTGACAGGTCAGAGGTACGAATATGGGGAGAACATGGATGAGCTCCCTCTGTCAGCTCCAGCTCCTCATGCAGGGACATGAGAGAAGCCTCCCACAAGGATGATGAAACATTAAAACATCTGGATGTTCCCTGGGCAATGTCCTTGCAGACGACTAATTCTCACACCAGAAGCAACTTGCAGTTTCTCAAGTCGCTCCTGATGTGAAAAAATTTTTGCCAGTTTGGAAACCCCTCTGAGTCCCCTGTAAAAATACAGTAAATAAATAAATAAATTTTGAAAAAAATGGCTTGTTGAAACAAGGATTGGTGATAAAACTTCAATGGAAACCCCTTTTTTCCATGATAACTCTTCCAGGAGTGAATTTCCCTTCCGAAGGGTAGATTTCTCTCACTTCCTGTTATCTCACTCCCATTTTTAACTATGAGTTGTTTGTAAGTCAAATGTTCATGACTTGGGAACTGCCTTTACTTTGTTTAACTGGAATCAGTTGTTCAATGAAGCACTAGGTTTCTTTAACTGAGAATTCTCAAGGTTTTTGGAAACTGCAAATCCCAGGATTCCACAGGAAGGAGCTTTGGCAGTCAAATGAAAACAAAGTGTTGTCATTGTGTAGTGTAAAAAAGATATACCTATTTTTCAAGGCACATTTGTATCAATGCCTTTTGACTTCAGGCAAAGAAAGCAGCTTTCAGGGTTTAATCATATTAAGCAAAAGCTGGAGGAAAGAGAAAAAACTACAAGATGGAGAGGTTGAAGCAGCAAACTCTGTGTTGGTTCAAAGATGGAGTGTGGGGCCATCTATAAGACTTGAATTTGTGAAGCTCTGCCCAGTGTTCTGTAGGTTTCAGCTTACAATCAAGGGCTGCTGAAATCAAAGAAACCAATCATGGCTGCTGCCCTGACATCCAGGAAATACCCAGATGTGTCTGCAGCAAAAGATGCCGAATCTACATAGAAGAGACAACATGGAAAATGAAACTAAACTTCTTAGATTGCCAAAGTTTGATTAATTCATTGTAGACATTGCTATAAATAAAAGCCTGAATGGACAGAATATAACCCTCTCTGACCCACTTTGTTGTGGCACCACTTTCTGGAACTTTTTCCTTGGGAGCACAGTTGGAGGCGATACTGCCTTCTTTCCCGCATAACATCAGAACATAGTTTTTTTATTAAAGACTTTAGGATCTCACAGTTTTTTCCTGAATCTCTTCAGGTTTTTAACTGTTTAACATGCCACAATACACAGAATTTTTGGCTGTTTATATTATTTCTCATGGCTTTAATCTAAAACTGTTCCTAGGTATTTTAAAATTTATTTTAAAATTATTTTTATTAAGTTTTCAAAAATGTGACTTAAATCCAACAAACAAAAAAGAAACACAGAGACTAAAATAAAAATTGAAACAAAAGAATCAAGTACAGAAATAATTCCAAAATATTCCTTCTCCTGTCAACTAAAACTAACAAACTCTACCCGCTCTTCAAAAAAGCATTTAAAATACAACCAATTTCTCAGCTCCTCCTCAAAGGCAGCCATCAAACTATTATAATACTATAAAACTATTGAATGGCCTTGCAGCTTTGAAGCCTGTAAACAGCCAGGCTTTGAAGCTGCAAGCCCCTTCAATGCTAATCAAGATAGTCAATTGCAACAATTACACTTGTCTCAAACAGGCAAGAGTTCTTTCTCCCACCCTGGACATTCCAGAGATATAGAAAACTCACTTGCCTAGTTTCCAACACACCTCACAACCTCTGAGGATTTTTTTTTTGTTATGTCAGGAGCGGTGTGAGAGAATTGGTCATCTGCAAGGACGTTGCCCAGGGGACACGCGGATGTTTTGATGTTTTACCATCCTTGTGGGAGGCTTCTCTCATGTCCCCGCATGGGGAGCTGGAGCTCATAGAGGGAGCTCATCTGCACTCTCCCTGGATTCGAACGTCTGACCTGTTGGTCTGCAATTCTGCCAGCACAGGGGTTTGACCCACTGCACCACTGGGGGCTCCAAGGATGCCTGCCATAGATGTGGGTGAAACACCAGGAAATAATGCTTCTGGAATAAGGACATGCCTGGAAAAATCACAGCAACCCTTTTAGAATATATTTCTGCTCTACTTAGTTGCATCAGCTTCTTGTAAATGCAAAAATATATTTAAAATTAAAGCATAATTGCAAGTAATATTAATATAGACCATTTAACCAGTCTGACTAAAATCCAGTTCATTATTTATTCAACTTTTGAAGTTGATTTTTTAACATTGTAGTATTCCCTGAAATCTTGTGACATAGAGGCTATTGGGGATGTTATTTCATTCTTGAGATAGATTATAAATATTAAAAAATCAAATAATAAGTGAGTAAATCTTCAAAGAGTAAAGAAACAAGTCATTTTCTGAGTCCCCCCTAGGGCGTTGAGAAGGGCAGGGTAGAAGCACTCCAAATAAATAAATACACAAATAAATAAATAAATAATATTTCTTTCCTTTTTTATCCCAGTCTTGAAAGGCTAAAACACAGAAAGTAATATATCAGGAAATAAGAAAAAATGCTGACCCTACATGTTTTTGTCAGGATAAACCAAATTGTTCTGAAATGAGGAACAAGAAAGCTTTAGAGACAACTTCATCAGGCTGGTTCTTGAGCCAGTTTTAACCAAAACAGGGCAACATAGCATCACAAAAAGAAGGAGAAATGTAGACCTCTCTCTCTTTGTCCTTTCCTTGATATTGAGGAAAGGAAAGGGCTGAGGGAGCAGGTAAAAAAAAAAGCAATTTCTTTTAGACTGTATTTAAGTTTTTGTTCATTCTGGACCCAGTTTAAAGGCAAAAAGGCAAGCTTAAGATGTAGGCAAATGCATAAGGCATTTAGGCCAACTTCGGGCCCTCGTGAAAACTATTGCTTTTAAGTGGGTACCTATTGATCCTTCTTTTATACAGGGAAACACTTGTTCCCTGATAAATCCAGCACCATTAACTATTTTCCTCAGATTTTATTCAAGTATAGAATCTGAGTGTCATTCTGTATTTGTTTTACTCAGAACAGAATCTCTGTGTTCAGTTCTTTTAATTTAACATTTCCTCTTACTAATTTTTTTAAAAAGAAAGATCATTAAAATAATATGGTGTTTTAGCATAAATTGCTTTGCTTTCGTCTGTGTTTTCAAAACTTACCATACTCATAGAGAAATATTTTCATGGACTTTTAAATGTAGCAGCTTTGTCCTCCACGATTAATTCTAACAGAAAAGTTATCTGAGGATAAGAGAGCTTTTAAATAAAATGTTGCAGATTTCAGAATTAATTGCCCAAATCCTGTTGGGGAGTTATTAATGTGTGATCTGGAATCTATCTATACTGCAGAATTATAGCACTTTGACATCACTTTAACTGCCATGTTTCAGTGCTATCGAATTCTAAGGTTTGTAGTTCTGTAGGTTATGTAGCCTATTAGGTAACTCTGGAACCGCAACAAACTACAAATCCCAGAATTATATAACATTGAGCCATTGTCAGCTGCTTCCACACAGCCCTATATCCTAGAATATCAAGGCAGAAAATCCTACAATATCTGCTTTGAACTGGGTTATTTGAGTCCACACTCAGATAATGTGGGATTTCCTGCCTTGATAATCTAGGATATAGGGCTACGTGGAAAGACCCTAGGAAGGACCTGAAATATATCAAGTGAAGTGTTTTTTCAAGAAAACATGGAACATTGCCACTGCTCTCAATAGAACATGACTTGATTTAGCACATTTATTTGGTTATTAAACAAAAACATCCCTCTCCCATCAAACAGCAAAGGGAAAGAGAGTGTGGTGGCTCAGTCTGGGCCTAAATGATCCTGTTTGAACCAGACAAAGGCCCCTTCTACACTGCCCTATAATCCAGATTATTAAAATAGATAATCTAGATTATCTGCTTTGAACTGCATTATATGAGTCTAGACTGCCATATAATCCAGTTCAAAACAGATAATCTGTATTTTATATGGCATGTAGAAGGGGACAAAGCTATCTATCCATAAGGCTTTTGAGACCAGTGGGAGGCAGAGGAAAAAAAAGCAAGCTTTAGAGAAAAGCAAACTGTCTTGCCCCCCTCTCTGTCTAAGACAGGGGTCCCCAAACTTAAGACCCGCAGGCCAAATGTGGCCCTCTAATACCATTTACCCCTCTGCCCTAAACTTTAGACTTAAGATTGCCCTGAGTTTAAAATGACTTGAAGGTGCATATCAGCAACAATCCTAATTAACGTGACTATCTCTGAACAATTAGGACGTGCCAAACTTTCAAGTACGTAAAAACCAAAAGCCTAAAATAAAATACAGTGGACCTCAGTATCTGTTGGGGTTTAGTTCCAGAACGCACAGTGGATGCCAAAACTCATGAACACTAAAATCTCATGATATACATAGTTGTAGTAAAATGATGTCCATTTTTTAAACTGGTGAAATCAAGGTTTGAGAGATACAGATATTCAAGCTGTGGATGGTTGAATCCGTGGATACAGAGGGCCTATCCTAATTCAAACTAAACTCTGTAGGAATAAAGGTTTCCCCTTGACATTAAGTCTAGTTGTATCTGACTCTGGGGTGTGGTGCTCATCTCCATTTCTAAACCGAAGAGCCAGCATTGTCCATAGATGCCTCGAAGGTCATGTGGCCGGCATGACTGCATGGAGCACCGTTACCTTCTTGCCAGAGTGGTACTTATTGATCTACTCATATTTGCATGTTTTCAAACTGTTAGGTTGGCAGAAGCTGGGGCTAACAGCAGGAGCTCACCCTGCTCCCTGGATTCGAACCGCCGACCTTTTGGTCAGCAAGTTCACTAGCTCAGTGGTATTAAGGTGCAAAAAAATGATCAGATTTCCTTCAAGTAAGGGACGAGAAGGAAAACCAGTAAATGCCTGGAGGGGCTGGCAAGGTTCCTTCACTTCCTCCTCCTCCGCCCTTTTCCTGTCGCCTTCCCTTCGTTTCCCTTCCCATATCAGCTTGAGTTGGGCTTCCCCCCAGCAACAGCAGCCATTGCCCTTTAACTTTGGGGGCAGGAGCCACTGGCATAGAACCCTTTATCACCTGCTACCTCATCCTTTAAAGTTAATGTGATAGGAATGGGAAGTATCTTTTTATGCCACACATTTAAATTCAGGATTACTTTTCTTCCACAGCTGTCCAGACTTTTACTGTATCTTTGTCCACTTTGAGAACTCAACTTTATGTTACTAATCATGTCATAATGTTACCCAGCTGGGATTACTGTAGCTGTTTCTGCATCCTAAAACTGGATATCTCATACATTAAATAGTTCAGATCTTTTCAGATGCATTGAAGTAAGCAAGTTTCAGCATCCAATTCCTGCGAAAACTCTTACTGACACAAAGATTAGGCTGAGACAGTGATTCATAAACCTGTGTTCTTGTAAATACACTTCTTGACATTACTTTTGTCCTGTTTATAAATCCATTGCAGTGAAGGCTGCTGTCTCTGCAGTACTAGCCTAAAGGATCTGTTGTAAATTTCTGAAAACACTAGCAGTGGGCTACAAAGAGCATCAATTTTCCTAGTTACCAATGTCATTGAAGACCTGTACTGTACTTATTATTTTTAAATCCCATTTTGTTCTGTTATTTCCTATGATGTGAGCCTGCTGTCAATCAATACATGCTCTGGTGGTCCTTGATTTGTTTTACTAGATACAGCAGACTCTCAGTTAACCAGAACCCAAGCAACCAGCAAAAAAATACTTTAAATAAAATGGATTAAAATAAATCGTTATAATACAGGAAAATAAAACCAGGTTTTATAATACAGCAGAACTTTGTTATATTAAGATAAATTTGTCTTTATTTATCTTGATTTGCATTTAATTGCTGCATTTAAATATTATTATCATATCAACACAGAGTTTATGGTGTGGGATATAATATGTTGGTATTAGATAGGCCTGTTTTTAATAGTAACTCTCAAGCAACTAGAAGTTGCCCTTACCTAGCATCTACAAATCTCAATGAATGCCAGTAGACTGAGAGTATACTGTGTACTGTATTAACATAAGGTTTTGAAGTGGACAGTGTGCCACAAACAAATAAAATCTACCTATCATCTAATTATATCTGTCCATACTTTTACATTTCCCCATTGGCACTGATTCTTGGCCCTTGTGGTCTCCTCCAATTTTATGATTCTCTGAAACCCCATTTAGCTTGGCCAACTATCAGGAATTCTGGGAAGCCCAAAAGAGCTGAAGGACCAAAGTTTGGGAATCAATATTGTAAAGTTTGTGAAAACTAGTTTATTAGACTTCACATCATGGAATCCTCCATGTTGGCTGCAGGATCTTGTTGTTGTCGAAATATAAAATATTTCAAGCTCTCTTCTTGAGAGAGATGGGATGGAATAAACAATTTTTGTTCAACACTGAAATACGTTTCTAACTTTTTGAAAATGTAGCAAAGCACTTTCTTCATGTGAACATGATAGCTAACAAAATATGATTTTTTAAAAAGCCATGAAGTCACATATTTAAGATAGAATAATATACTTTGTTGCTTGAAATTTATCTTTCTTAATCTTTTAGGCTGAATCTCCACCGTTTCGCTGTAATGATGGAGAATATCCTTATAACGGTCAACGTTGTTGCAAGATGTGCCGTGCAGGTAACAACTATGTTCTGGAAAATAAAATTATACATACCTTTGTTAGTAGCAGAGACTGGAAATTATTTCTTTATTTTTAAAGCTCCCCTCATTTTAGTACACCAGCAAGACACGTCAGTCCACTATTCCTGCCCAGAAGCTGACTTCCCCCTGCAACACACACACATTGCTTGAAGCATTCTCTGCCATCTGACTGACTTCTAGTGCCAGAATGAAACAAAAAAGAAAACTATTCCAAACTCTAAAATGCCAAAATGGGGTAATGGTTATAATCTTAGGAAAGTCTGATTTTAGTCCCCACTGAGCCATGACACTTGCTAGGTGATCCTAGACCAGCCACCCCAATCACGAACTCACAGCTTATGTTTTTAGCAAAACATGTTTAGATGGTAAGGCTGTGAGAAGAGCTCTGTCTAAATTATTCTGGTACAGTATTTGGTGAGAAACCTGGAGTGGTTAGTAAATGCTGAGGTGCTTAGCAATGGTCTCCTAACTGTGTAAAATTTCAACACTATATTATTTAATATTAGATTAGTCCATGCATATTGACTCAGAAGCAGCTCCGACTAGATCTTTATGGAAATGATTGTTTATTTCTTTTAGTAATAAGCTTCTCTTGTTTACTAGGTACTTATGTTGAAGAGTCCTGTACCATTCCCCATACTTTGGGGCACTGTTTACCTTGCACAAATGGAGAGGATTACACTGATCGTGAAAATGGCCTTGATCAATGCTTTCTTTGTGACAAATGCAAACCCGGTACAGTATGATTTAGCAACTAGTCTGCTTTCTGCTTTTGAAGTTTTTTAAAGTTCTGTCATGTTCTCTCGATGTATTCTCATCCTCTGTTTCCCAAATATCAGACGGGGGGGGGGGGAGCATTTCTATGACAACAAAATGTGGTGCAGGCAAGGAATGGCATGTTTTCTTTCTCTCTGTGTCTGGTAACTCCTTCTTTCTCTTCCTCCTCTCCCCCCTCTCCTCCCTTGTCCAGGAGGCAGCTAGGTGAGGTTGGATTCTGCAAACCTGACCTGATAACTTTTAGAAGACTTTTGAAACAATGCCAAGGAATGCATGCACCCTTAGGTCCAAAGGTTGCACATCCCTAAATAAACTATTCAGAAGTAGAACTGTTTCCACCCTTCACTGTTTTCTCCTCCAGTGTTTACTGCTATAACTCATTCATGGTTGATCTCTTAAGGGATTTTATGTCTTTGATAGAGTTATATGAAATTAGCATTTTGACCAGACCTTTTGAACTACAACACCTAGAGTTCCCCACCAAGCATAGATTCTGGGTGTTGTGGTCCTAAAGTAAGATTTCCAAGCTCCAATTTTGGACTTGTACTCTTATACACACTGGTGCTTTCTTTAAAAAGTGAAGGAATGGTCAATAAAGGTAATTTAAAACACCTTGTGCTATTTTAATATTTAGGATATATCATGGTGAAAGCCTGCACTGCTACAAGCAACACAAAATGCCAGTGCCCTGAAGGGTATTACTGTCCCCCAGGCTGTGAGGAGTGTGTCAAGTGCAGGAAAAGGTCTGTACAGTAATAAATTTAATGTTATTCACTTTGGAAAAATATGTGCTAGTACTTGGTGAATTAGATCAATTTAGATTCTGGTTATTTATAATGATGCAAGTTACTAGAAGAAGATAGTTTTTTAAGACTATTGATTTACATCAAGTTTCACTGTAATACTTCTCTTTCCAAAGTACCAATGCACAGATAGCAGTGAACTAATAATTTGTGTATTTAATGATTGAAATACAGTTGGCCCTATGTATCCCAGACAAATCATTCAACTAAGGGCAGTATAGTCTACTTCACAATATATGACATAGATTTACAACCAAACCTATGGTCTTTACAGTATTGTAACATTCGCTATTGCCTGTCTGCTATATTAGTCCCAACTAGAGCAAATCAGTGAAATTTGTGAAATCAATACTTATATAAGTTTTGTTTATGTTTACTGTAATAAGGATTAATAGCTGAATTTAGGTCTAAACTTTGAGCCATATTGAACTGGAACCAAGTTATATTTATGAATTAAATGCAAAAGCAGACCAATTTTCCATGTTTAAATAGAAATAATTAAATGAGTGTGTTCCTTTTAGAAAGGTGAGGACCTGTCAGTTTTGCATGGGCAAAGCAGAATGATCAATCACCCAAAATGTAAGAACTAATTGTTCTGGGTGCATTTATGTCCTTCTCTTTAAGTGTAACCCCTGGTTTTTCAGAACCCCTGTACTTTGTCAGAGTTTCCAAACAACACAGAATTGAAATGAGGTTGTAAAGATATGACAGTGTTTTAAATTCACCTCGTTAATTTGATTCTTAGTTTTTAAAGAAATATAATCTGTTGTTTTCAAATCTGAGGTTTTCTTTTGTTACTACAAAATGCTACAGCAGTTACCTTAGACTTTCAAGTATTGACATATTAGTTACTATTGGATGTTGATTTTTTGGTGTATGGCATATGATACTACGTTTCAATGACCAATGCTTTTGTACACCATTCCCATGCATTTATAGGATGTTTACATCCTCTCTCTGAACTGAGATGTTTATGTTGTCCTTCTTCATGAAACATATATTTCATTGGTCAAATAATCCATCATTATCTTTGTTTGTAAATGAAAATGTAGGTGTCCTAAAGGAGAAGTGCAGATCAAAAGTTGCAGTGCCACCACAGACATAGAGTGTGCAACATCTTCCACAGGTACAGTGTGAATAGTCTCATTTCTACATCTAGTAAGACTCTTATATGGAAGTTGTTCAAAAAGAACGTTGAACATCCTAAAACGGAGACCAGTCTTGTTAAGAGAGGATTGAAGAGGGTTTTCCTATTTCCTCTTTTGTCAGGGTATCACTTCAATAGTCAGTGGTGACATTTTTCCTTACATGTGCATATTAAGGTTGCTGGTCAACAACATCCAGGCCCTTGTGATATCACAAATGTGGTGCAGGCAAGGAATGGCATGATGGCAGCTGGCTGTGAAAATGGGCAAGAGGCTGATCCGGGTAAACAAGCCCACAATTTTGATAAAATCCAGCTAATTGGTTAATACGGTTATCTGGCAACCCAGGGGGTAGGGAGCATTTTTCACTAGCTGAGCAGGTGCCATAATTAACCCAGTACTTGCAACAGTTGCACATATTTCCATACATTGTCTCTAATGGCTTTACTAAAGATACAAATGAAACATAGAGTGGGAGTTTCCAGCCCCTGTGTTGGATCTAGTAGACAGCTTAGTCTCAGCTCTCAAACCTTCCACCACTGCTCTCAGTGTTTGCAGAAGAAGATGGTTCAGTTCCCAATAGTGACACTTAGTTTCCTGCTTTGATCCTCATGACCTAACAAACCCAAAGGCATATTCTCTCCCTCTTTCTCCTGTCCTAAGTGCAACATGCATGGAAACACCTTTTCCAGAGAGCTTTGGTGTTAGCCAAAAACAACCAGAGATGGTTTCCCAGGCTTTAAAACAACCTTTCATACAAATATCAGATTTTGTTCTCCTAAAGTGCCATTTATCCTGTGAATAATCTCTCTGACTGGAAATCTGAAACACAATAATAGTTTGCTGGCCAATTTTCTGGGCATACACATGCTTCATTTTGTTGTGGCCTGAAAGACATTCGAAAATGTACACAGGTGAAAAGGGGCTAAGTCTCTGAACATCTTTTAAGAGATGACTTTCATCATCTTTGACTTGTTGCACTCTGTCTTTCACAGAAAGTAGCTCCTTTCCTCATTTTTAAATATCAAAGATGTGTTTGTGTAAAGCATTAGCTAATTATGTTGCCAAAACAAATCTATGTGTTTCAACTGTACTTCAAATCATGTAGAATATTCTTGTGGTCTGGACTCACTTTAAGTGTTTTTAATACATTTTAGAAACTACAGATTCTACACATCGAATGGATTTCATCATCCCTGTAGGTGTCATCATTGCGATTGTGATTGTGATCGTTATCGCGTTCTTTGTCTTCAAATTTAGAAAGAGCAATGCATTCTCTGAACTGGAAAGAGGTAATTTTTTGAAATAGAGATGAACCTTCTTTATGTATCCAAATATTCAAAATAAAATGAGCTAAAATGAAGGCTAATGGAGAACTACAACTGGGGAAGAGGTACTACTGTGAAGAACTGCTGTGGACAGTGCATGGCTTCCTTGGACCCATTCACAACTGCAAGAATATTTTTGATGGGGAAAAAAGCCAAATAATGCATCTAGCAAAGAGTAAATAATTCAATTCCAATAGCTTCTCCTAGTTCCCTTTCACAGAAGGCCAGACCTCCTCCTCCTGACTCTTCTTTTGCTTTTTATTTAAAGAGCCATTTGATGATTAACTGTTTGTGCAGAAAAACCTTTTTTATGTGAGAAGGTGTTATTTATTGTTATTTTTTAAATTACAAAATTGCAGGCTAATAAACATTCATGGGGTTGTTGATATGATCGCTTGTTTATGTTTTAACTTGTTTTGCCGTCAAGGTGTTAGCTTTGTCTTATTTTAAACGTCTTATATATAAAATACATAAATAAACCTTGAGGTTATACAACTTGACATTTAAAGGCTGCCTTGGTCCATGTCTTAGCTTGTTTCAGGCCTGACATTACCTTTCTTACTGGACTCGCCTCCCCATTTCCAAGAGAATGTTTTGGACCTGAAATATGTAGAATTGATCCTCCTTCCCAAATGGGGACATTATTTGCCATTCTTCAGTCACCCTTGAGAATGGTGGTTGGGGGGACTGTTTGTCATTCTTTCTGACATGGGAGAATTGCAGCTCATTGGGGTCAAAGGTGAAGTGAAATAGGTCCACAGGTCTTTTAAAGCTTTCAACTCCAGTTGCAGACACAGCACCCAATGTGGTGTGATGCTGAACCACACTTTTAGTAATCTGTCCCTTTATTTCTGAGCCTCCGAGAGGTTAGTTGAAGGGGAGGGGCATTTTCATATTAAACTTCAAATTAAAATAATGGTGCAATCCTATGCCTGGACCTTTGAAAATTAATGATGTCCAGTCAGCAGTTGGAATCTCAAGGCAATGGACCTTCAAGGGAAAAGTCTAGTATCATTTACCCATTAGAATCATAGAATCAAAAAGTTGGAAGAGACCTCATGGGCCATCCAGTCCAACCCCCTGCCAAGAAGCAGGAATATTGCATTCAAATCACCCCTGACAAATGGCCATCAAGCCTCTGCTTAAAAGCTTCCAAAGAAGGAGCCTCCACCACACTCCGGGGCAGAGAGTTCCACTGCTGAACGGCTCTCACAGTCAGGAAGTTCTTCCTAATGTTCAGATGGAATCTCCTCTCTTGTAGTTTGAAGCCATTGTTCCGCGTCCTAGTCTCCAGGGAAGCAGAAAACAAGCTTGCTCCCTCCTCCCTGTGGCTTCCTCTCACATATTTATACATGGCTATCATATCTCCTCTCAGCCTTCTCTTCTTCAGGCTAAACATGCCCAGTTCCCTAAGCCGCTCCTCATAGGGCTTGTTCTCCAGACCCTTGATCATTTTAGTCGCCCTCCTCTGGACACATTCCAGCTTGTCAATATCTCTCTTGAATTACAGGAATAAAGAGCTAAAAACCATAAAAGGAAGCAAGAGTTCATTTCCAAATTGAAAGAATGACAAATCCTGCATGTTTGCATGTTTATTTGCTTTAAAGTCACTTGTTCCACTTATGGTGATCTCATGAATTTCATAGCATTTTCTTAGACAAAGAATACTTAAGAGGTGGACTACTCCACTTTTAATTTGAAGTTAAGCTCATAATTATGATCTCATACACTAATATATGCCTTTTTTTCTTTTTCCCCCTAGAAAAGGAATCCAAGTCTTCTTTGGTAAGTAGTCTATAAAGCACACATTTTTCAACCAGAAATTTGGGTGCATCTTAGGGCATATCTGTGGCGTAATGTAAAATAAACCGCGTGCAGTTCATGTTCAATCAGCTCACACACTGCCTTGCCAGAGAAAGAAAATATGCCACGTAAGTGAACAATAAAGAACAAGTAGTTTACACTTCGTAGTTCAGAACAACATATGTACAATGTGATCAGTTTCATTAACTCACATAAAGTCCTTTTCATGAGAGATTTAAAATGGTCTTTCTTTGTCCATGTTGGATAAACCTTCTTTCAGCAGCCAGAAGTAAATCAGTCTGTCTCTCTTGCTGTGCTTCTCTCTTCAAACTCTCTCTCTCTCTCTGCATCTGCATAGCTCAAGCCTGAACAAAAATGCAACAGTATCCAAAAGTCCCAGGCTCAGCCATCTCCCCAGGCATTGCCCAATCAATCAACTTCATGCATCTTACTTTACAGTTGACACACACACATTAACTGATTCCTTGCATGCTCCAACAGTATCTACACGTGCACTTTAACCTGAATCAGGCAGTGGAAGTTTCATAAGCAGACCCATGTAAAGCATGCAGCTGTGATCTAAATGAGATTGTGTTGCCATGGTCAGATCCAGTGTCCCAAGGAATGGGCGCAACTGACACCATTTCTTCATAAACATATATTTTTAAAATCCAATAAAAATAATTGGAAATTATGTTATAATGAGGCTCCAGTATATGCAACACCTTCCCCAAACTTGTACCCTCCATACATCTGGGACTACAACTTCAGCTGTGAAAATTAATGATCAAGGATAATAGCCACTGTAGTCCAAAACATAACATATACTGTATTTCCACTGGAACAACACCAGTCATCCTGAGTCTTCCTAGATTTTGGTTCACATGAAACTGTCCAAATCTTAGGAAGGGCATACTGTGCTGGAACACTGAGTATTACCCAAAGACTTAAAAGGATTGATTTTTTTACTTGCAGATATCTGTAAGTGGTGAAGTTACAAACACTAATCCTGGAACGTCTGCTTCTGAGATGCCTGTACTGAGAAATGAGAGAGGCCAGAATGTGAAGAGCAGCAATTTGATGGTTGGCAGCACGAACGAAGGATCTGACCCTGGGAATGTCCCAACAGCTCCATTATTGCAGCAACCAGAGAACTCTGATGTTCCAAATGTGCCAGCAAATGTAAGAAATGAATTAAGAGTTGCAGAGTTGGAAAAAGCGGTCTGTCTTTTGCTCTCGCTTTGGGTGCATTTACACTGTAGAATAAGTGCAGTTTGATACCACTTCTTAACTGCCATGGGACAATACAGTGGTATCCTGAGAGTTGCAGTTTGGTGAAGCACCGACTCTCTTTAGCTAAGAAGGCTAAAGACCTTCAAAAACTACATCTCCCAGGATTCCAAAGTGTTGAGCCATGATGGTTTAAGTGGTGTCAAACTGCATTCATTCTATAGTGTAGATGCACCTCTCCTTTCTCACACATACCTTTTCATTTTCATTTTACATCAAAATATGAAGTGTATAATCCCAGTGTATTACAAAATACTTTACGGGCAAGTATTTGTTTTGCCACATGATATGCTGTGGTGCTTTTTCAAAAAAGTCGCTAGTAGTGAAAAATCTTAAAGGGATAAGTGATTGGGAAAGTTTTTTGCTCAGAAGTTTGACCCAGTTTTCTTGATTCCCAACATTGCTCATAGTGGAGAGCTGGTCTCCTGGGGAGTGATGAGAAGCAAAGTAAAATCTTTATATATGCAACATTTAATGTACTTTCATAGGGCCCTTCATAATGATTCTATGGCTCTATGCCATTAAGTAAAAAATAGTGTTAGAATGTTTAAACTAAAAAAAAAATTAAAATGCAAAATATAATGAACAGTGCTTTCTTATTCTGTGAAAGATTTACTTTTTAAAAAGGTTCTACACTCAAATGTTGCATATTTAAAGCCCTATATTGATTCCATCCTTACAGCATTCATTTTGCCTAAGATCTGTTAGTTGTGTATGTTCTTTAAAAAGTTAACTTATAATATTAAAAAATACTTGTACTAAACATTTGCTCTTCTTCATATAATGTATCTGTGCTGACTTGAGTGGGTCAATGCTTTATTTCTTAAAAATTACTATAAGTAATTATGGCCATTTTCCCTTATTATTTTAGATACCAGCACCTAAAAAACCTATGGTGAAAGTAATAGATGGTTATTCAAAAGAAGGTGAGTTGTTACACACCCTTTTTCAGGCTATAGCCCCCAAACTTTCTCCTATATCTTTCCTTGCTGCCACCATTGCATTTGCAAGGAACTGTCCAGCAGAGCTATTTTGAGTGGTCAGAGGGCTGTTACATCCTGGTCCTCAAGGAGAAATCCGTTAACACTCAGCAATCCACTGTGAAGAATTTGTAAGGCAGTTTGTAGATAAAGTCACTCAGATTCGTTCTAACTTGGATGCCATTATTGACACAGTTCCAATGGAAGTAACTCTGGCTACTGCTTGTCCAGTGTTGACGGATACCTTTCAATTTGTACAACTTGAGGACATGGACAGGATCCTTGGAGAGGTGAAAGCTACCACATTTATTTATTTATTTATTTCACAGTTTTCTATACCGAGCTTCTCAACCTCATTGAGGGACTCAGCCCGGTTTCCAGCCATAAAAAACATATACACTCATTAAAATATCATATATCACAATTACAAAAACAACTTTAAAAACACTATATGTAAAACTACAGTGTTCAGTCGTCCTATTAATATGGATCTACATCCACTTCCATCCAGGGTCCTATGGTGTTGTCTCATTCATCGAAGGCCTGACTCCACAGCCACGTCTTCACCAGTTTCCTAAATGTTAGGATGGATGTATACCACATGTATTCTAGATCCTCGCCCTTCCTGGCTGATCAAGCGGGTCAGAAGGGGACTGGCACAGTGGGTGAAGATGGTGGTCAATGCCTCCTTGGAACAAGGCAAAGTTCCAACTAAAGGAGGGAGCTGAGAGGCCTATATTTTAAAAAACCAACCTTCCCTTTCTAAGCAAGGTTCTGGAGCATGTGATGGCCTTCCAACTCCAAGAATTTCTGAATGACATTGATTATCTAGATCCATTTCATTCTGCTTTCAGGCTTGTCTACAGGGAGTGGACAACCTCGCTGTTGCAGCAGCTTCACTGGCTGCCAGTCTGTTCAAAGTTCTGCTTATGACCTTTAAAGCCCTCGACCAGTCATTCTCAACCTGTGGGTCCCCAGATGTCTTGGTCTTCAACTCCCAGAAATCCTAACAGCTGGTAAACTGGTTGGGATTTCTGGTAGTTCTAGGCCAAAACACCTGGGAACCCACAGGTTGAGAACCCTATACGGTTCAGGTCCAGGCTACTTGGCTTACAGCATCCCCTCGTACGATCCTGCCTGGGCCTTGAGATCTTCAGGAGAGGCCTTTCTCTCAATCCCACTTCCATCTCAAGCTTGGTTGCTGGGAACGAGAGAGCGAGCCTTCTCGGTGGCTGCCCCTTGACACTGGAACTCTCTGCTCAGGGAAGCCAGAACAGCCTCCTTCCTGCTGTCCTTCCAGAGGGGCAGGCTAAAACCTTTTTATTGAAACAGGCATTTAAAAATGTTGTTGTTTAAGATCCAGTCAGGAAGTGCTGGGGTTTTTAACTTTGAATATGTTTTGATGGATTTTAACTGATTTTTTTTACTGCTGTTTGTGTTTAATTCTGTTTTATTTTTTTTATATTTGTATATTTTAATTTCTCTGCTAATACTTTTATGTCAAGCTGCATTGTGTCCCCTTTGGGGAGATAAAGCAGATTATAAATAAATATAATAATAATAAACAACACTGAAAAATTCAATTTTATTGGTTTTTACGTAGAGGTAAAATAATGGTAGACAAATACCATATATTCATTTGTCTCAAATTATTTATGTATCCATGAACATTTTTTTTAAAGTTCATGAGGTTCTTATACTTTTTGTATGAGTGTGGCTACTCGAAGAGATAAACAGCACGCCGGCAGCATTTGGAGGAATGTGGCTCAGATTAATAAGCAAAGAGATAAACAAGCGCTGTGCCCCAAAACATAGATACTTTCCTGTCCCCTTCACAAGAGAAAACAAATCAGAAATAGTTCTGTATATTATAGTCTCTTGCTATGTTTAAACCATGAAATCAGAGTTCAGATTTCCCAAACAAGCCATACTATCATACGGTACCAACCTAAAATGATGGTTTCATGGGTTGTTCATAAGCTCTCAACCACATTTTCTATTTAAGATGTTATGGAATAGTTCTGGTTTGTTTTCTGTGCAACTACAAAAGCTAAAGAACTTCATAGGTGCATTTACACTGTAGAATTAATGTAGTTTGACACCACTTTAACTGCCATGGCTTCATGCTATGGATTCATGGGAGTTGTAGTTTTATAAGGTTTTTAGCTCTCTCTGCCAAAGAGTGCTGGTGTCTCACCTAAGTATTGCTTGATTCCACAGCATTGGGCCATGGCAGTTAAAGATATATCAAACTGCATTAATTCTAAAGTTTAGAAGATATGTTTGTAGAAAAAATAGAGCTTCTTTTCATTGACTGTTTTCCTCTGAATAGCATGTACACCACCATATTGAGATTGTTTAAAATTTATTTTTTTCAAATGTATAATGCATTTTTCTTTCCCTATAGAACTAAAAAGGATTTATTTTCACACGAGGGACATGGTAGATATACACGACTGGTATGACCTTATGAGGAAGTGTGGCTTATCTGATATCGACATTGGCAACATCAAGCATGACCATTCTGGGCATATAAATGAAGCACGTCATCAGATGTTATTTACTGTATGGCATCGATTCGGAATTCGTGAAGCTTTATGTAAATTATTAGATGGACTGTGGGAATTGAAGCTTATGAGTATTTACGAAAATGTAACAAATGAATTAATAAGCCATAAAATAATAACACTGGAAACCAAAGACTAAAGTCTTGGGTTTGTTAAAAACGTGTGAGGTCAGAATCTCTAAACTGCATCCTTTTGTATATGACCTTACTTTAATGCACGTTACTTTTTGCTGATGATGAATAAGTAGAAAACACATCTGTTAAAACAAGTATGGATTTCAATATGTCTGGAGACTGGACGGATGCATATTTGTACATGTGTATTTTTATAACATCTGATCTTGATAGTGACTGTACTTGGAACTTCTGTGAGTTGCTTGAGGATGCTCTCCAAGTAAGTCTGTGCAGTATTTCAAAATCTCAAATTTGTTTGTCACCCTTATTGAGAAACAGTTGCAAAATGAATGTGCATGGTGCAAGGTAAAGATACTTTATATACTATCTTGATAGGAATAAAGTTGCCAGACTTAAAATATGTAACAGAAATGGCTGTGGCTTGTCATGGCTGTGTTATCGAGGGGTGAGGGTTGAACATCCTCGAGAAAATGTATGATATTATGACCAAGTTTCAGAGTAATGCAGTAGGCTTTTGCGTACATTGTGCAATGTTTCTGTCAACATTCAGCAGGCTGAAAGCACTATGATAATTTCTTACTTTGGAGCCAGAACCCTAAATACATTTTTACTGTGCTACGATATCTTTTGTAAAGGTTTCCTTCATTATAATTAACAGAACTTTGCCACGTTGAATTGTAGAAGAGTTATGGATTGGGGTATTTATTAAATTCTGTGCCTTTCAAACAAGATTTTTGAATCATGATGCTTGAATTTTTACAACTTTTATACCACCTGTAATTTTTTAAATAAAAAAACCTTTTCAAATTAATGTTTCTGAGTCATATCAGTAAATGAGGGCACAAGAGAAGTGAGCCTTTTGCCTATGTATTCTAAAGGCACCAAGTAAAGGTAAAGGTTTTCCTCTGACATTAAGTCCAGCCGGCGGTTGTTGCTCATCTCCATTTCTAAGCCGAAGAGCTGGCATTGTCCGTAGACACCTCCAAGGTTATGTGGCTGGCATGACTGCATGGAGTGCGGTACCTATTGATCTTCTCATATTTGCATGTTTTCCAACTGCTAGGTTGGCAAAAGCTGGGGCTAACAGTGGGAGCTCATTCCGGTCCCCTCAGCAAGTTCAGCAGCACAGCACTTTAAACAACTGCACCACTGGGGGCATCAACTCCTGTCAGATCTTGGAAGCTAAGCAGAAGCAGCCCTGGTTAGCATTTGGATGGGAGACCACCAATTAATGCCGACCAGATGGCGTAAGCTTTGAGGAAGGATCTGGCAAAACCTCCTGAGTATTCTTTGTCTAAGAAAAAAGCCCTATGAAATTCATGGTCTCTGCACAAGTTGAGAAACAATTTAAAGGCACATATACACACACAAACAAGGAGGAAAGTCAACCTGAATTTAATTTGTTGAGCAAATCTGAATGTCAATGACCATTGTCTTGGCCATCTTACTTACATCCTTCTAGGTGGGTCAAACTTTCCTAATATTTCAGATGGGATGGGGGCTTAAGAATCAGTGACTTAATTTAAGACTATCCAGTGGATTCAAGGATCAGGCAAATTCCATCCCAAATTCTTAAAACTTTAGATTGAAAAATCAATATACAGTAGAGTCTCGCTTATCCAACTTACGCCCATCCAATGTTCTGTATTAACCAATGCAGTCTGCCTCCCGCCTGGATTCACAGCTGTTTCAATACATTGCAATGTTTTGGTGCTAAATTTGTAAATACAGCAATTACTACATAACGTTATAGTGTATTGACCTGCTTTTTCTGTCCATTTGTTCTAAAACATGATGTTTTGGTGCTTAATTTGTAAAATCATAATGTAATTTGATAATTAATAGGCTTTTCCTTATATAACGTTTTCACTTATCCAACGTTCTGCCAGCCCATTTATGTTGCATAAATGAGACTCTACTGTAATTACATCCTCTGGGGTGATAGGAGAGAAACATCATATAGGAAAGAATATTAACCTCTGAATTCGTGCCCCATTCAGCTTGTAAGAATCTGAGGAAGGTGAAGACAAGCCCAGCTGAAGAGCAGGCTGCATCCATTTGGGTCCCGTGTCAGCGAGGGTCTTCATTTCCAGCACTTCCCAGATAGGAAAAAAAAAGATAAGCTTAGTTACAAAGAACATCTTGACCCTGAACCAAGTTCTCCCTTTCCCATGATATACTGATGCCGGCAATAGTTATGTTATATTCTTTCCATGTATTCATTTATTGTATGAGACCCTCAACTCTACAAGCTTCTGAAGCCAGTATATTGTAAAACCGGCCACTAGGGATGCATCTACATTGTAGAATTAATTAAGGCTTTCATGGCTGGAATCACTAGGTTCTTGTAGGTTTTTTCGGGCTATAGGGCCATGTTCTAGAGGCATTTCTCCTGACGTTTCGCCTGCATCTATGGCAAGCATCCTCAGAGGTAGTGAGGTCTGTTGGAAATAGGAAAATGGGTTTATATATCTGTGGAATGACGGGTGGGGCAAAGAGCTCTCTGCTGAAGCTAGGTGTGAATGTTTCAGCTGACCACCTTCATTAGCATTTGAAGGCTTGGCTGAGCCTGGGAAAATGTTCTGTTGAGAGGTGTTAAGATGTGCCTGGTTGTTTCCTTTCTGCTGTTTTGCTGTAGTAATTTTAGAGTTTTTTTAATACTGGTAGCCAGATTTTGTTCATTTTCATGGTCTCCTCCTTTCTGTTGAAATTGTCCACATGCTTGTGGATTTCAATGGCTTCTCTGTGTAGTCTGACATGGTGGTTGTTGGAGTGGTCCAGCATTTCTGTGTTCTCAAATAATATGCTGTGTCCAGGCTGGTTCATCAGGTGCTCTGCTATGGCTGACTTCAACCAGAGAAGACTACTTCAACCAGAGAAGTCAGCCATAGCAGAGCACCTGATGAACCAGCCTGGACACAGCATATTAGAAATGCCTCTAGAACATGGCCCTATAGCCCGAAAAAACCTACAAGAACCTAGTGTAGAATTAATTTTCACCATGGAAAAAGAAAACGAAGGAAGACTGCCTTTTCTAGATGTCTTTTCTAGATGTTTCTAAACTGGGTCACACCGTTTACAGAAAACCCACACACACAGATAGATATCTACATAAAAACTCCAACGATTACCCAAGGGAAGCTGATGAGGAAGCACAACATACAAACTATCTACAGACCCACCAAGAAAATCCAACTAATGCTATGTTCAGGAAAGGACAAGAGGGATCCTCTCACCTCTGCAGGAGTCTACCGTATACCATGCAGCTGTGGACAAGTCTACATAGGGACCACCAAACGCAGCATTGCCCAAACACGAATCAAGGAACATGAAAGGCACTGCAGACTACTTCAACCAGAGAAATCAGCCATAGCAGAGCACCTGATGAACCAACCTGGACACTGCATTTTATTTGAGAACACAGAAATGCTGGACCACTCTCACAACCACCATGTCAGACTACACAGAGAAGCCATTGAAATCCACAAGCATGTGGACAATTTCAACAGAAAGGAGAAACAAAATCTGGCTACTAGTATTAAAAAAACTCTAAAATTACAACAGCAAAACAACAGAGAGGAAACAATCTGGGACATCTAATCACCTCTCAACAAAAGATTGCTCCAGGCACTGCCAGGCCATTATATGCTAATCAAGGTGGTCAGTTGAAACATTCACACCTAGCTCCAGCAGACAAGAGTCCTTTGTCCCACCCTGGTCATTCCACAGATATATAAACCCCTTTTTCCTAGTTCCAACAGACCTCACTACCTCTGAGGATGCTTGCCATAGATGCAGGCGAAATGTCAGGAGAGAATGCCTCTAGAACATGGCCATATAGCCCGAAAAAACCTACAACAACCCAGTGATTCCGGCCATGAAAGCCTTCAGCAATACATAGAATTAATATAGTTTTACACCACTTTAACTCAATGCTGTGGAACCATGAAAGTTGCAGTTTGGTGAGGCACCAGCACTCTGGCGGAGAAGGCTAAAGACCTTTTTTTAAAGACTAGAACACCTAAAACCCCCTAGCATTTAGCCATGGCAGCGAAAGGGGTGTCAAACTGCATTCACTCTACAATTCTGGGAGTTGGAAGTCCAAAACACCTGGAGGGCCGATGTTTGCCAGGCCTGCTCCTGAGCATTGAGCCAGGCCGATTGCAAAGGGGTCACGCGGCGTTCACGCGACTGATCCTCGGTCACGTGATTTCCTCGAGCCCCAGTAGACGCTACCCAGGCGTTGCCTCGTTACGCGCGCGGGGGGAGGCGCGGCGGAAGTGACGCTTCGAGGCGGGGCTGCGTTTCCGGACACGGCGTTGGTTGCATCAGCCTGTGAGGTAGCTCGGCGCCTGGCAGGAAGCGAGAGGAAGAGGACGCGGCATGGCTGCAGCCGGTGAGCCCCAGAGAGAGAGGGGGAGAGAGAGAGAGCGGCCCCTTAAAGGGAAAGCGGCCCCGGGGAGGGAGGGAAAGCGGGAAGCAAGGGCAGGAAGAATCCCTGTGCGTCTGAATCCCTCTGCGTTCCTATTCGGGTGTTTCTGAGGCACTCTCTGTGGGGGTTTCGATGGGAGTAAAGCTTTCTGCGGGTTTAATGAGGAGATCAGCACATTTGGGGCCCAGGTTTGTAAGAGGATATGCCACAACTAAGGGCAAACTTAGGCCCTTCAGGTGTTTTGGACTTTAACCCCCCACAATTCCGAACAGCCGCTGAGAGTTGAAGCCCAAAACACCTGGAGGGCCGGAATTTACTCATGCCTGATATGCAATCAACGAGTTAGAAGAGTTCCCAAGGCCACCCAGTCCAGTCACAAGCAGGAAGGGACGCACAATCCAAGGCCTCCCCGCAGATGGCCATCTATCCCCCCTCCTCAAAAGAAAAACAATCTCCAAAATAGACAGCCCATTTCTCTGGGTGGTTGTAGGTTTTTCGGGTTGTATGGTCATGATCTAGAAGCATTCTCTTCTGAGGTTTCACCCCAGTGGTGCAGTGGGTTAAACCCCTGTGCCGGCAGGACTGAAGACCGACAGGTTGCAGGTTCGAATCCAGGGAGAGCGTGGATGAGCTCCCTCTATCAGCTCCAGCTCCTCATGCGGGGACACGAGAGAAGCCTCCCACATAGATGATAAAACATCAAAACATCCAGGCATCCCCTGGGCAACGTCCTTGCAGACGGCCAATTTTCTCACACTAGAAGCAACTTGCAGTTTCTCAAGTTGCTCCTGACACGACAAAAAAACAAACAAAAACCAGCATCTGTGGCAAGCATCCTCACAAGCTCTAAGGATGCTTGCCACACATGCAGACGAAACGTCAGAAGAGAATGCTTCTAGAACATGGCCATACAACCCAAAAAACCTACAACAACCCAGTGATTCCGGCCATTAAAGCCTTCGACAATACAGCCTATTTCTCTGTTGAAGAACTCCGTCCCCCAGGGAATTCTTCCCTTTGCTCAGGTGGAATCCCTTTCCCTATAATTTGAATCAATCGCTCCATTGTGTCCTAGTCTCTGGAGCAGCAGGACCCAAGATTGTCCCTCCTCAATGTGACATCCTTTCGAATATTCCAACCTGGCTCTCTCGTCACCTCTTGACTCCCTGGCAATAGTCAGGCTCTCTGTGGTGAGCAGAACTGTCAGAATTTGTAGCAGGTCCTGCTGGATCAGGGTGAAAACTGATAAATTCCTGTTTTCTGTATATATAAATCCCCCCCACCCAAAAAAAAAAAAACACCCTATGAAAGCCCACTGAGTTGATGTTTTGTTCACTGCAGCAAAAGTGTTAAGGGAAATCACGTTAAGATGAGCTGACATGGGAAAATTCACACATTGAGACTTTGTGCTTGAGTGAACTGGAACTTTTTCCATGTGCTTCCAGACAGCCCCTTTAAAGCAGAAGTTCCCATACTTTAAAGTGGGGCGTCTAGAAGATGTCCCAAAGAAAAACGAATTCATTCGCCACAAACCAGGAAAACCCTGGTTTGTTGCAAATTAATTTGTTAGTGGGTTTATTCCACGCCTTCTTGGAAGATGTGGGACAAATCCACTACTTTTGCTGTCTGAACTTTTGGGCTTTTGAGGAGGCAGTCCAGACAGTAGTCCCGCATTCTTCTGGGCTAAATTATCCCGGAAAACAGTGAGGACACCAACACCCTCTCCAAAGACCCCCCAGACACGCTTTAAAAATAAAAGAACTTAACATGCCAGGAGAAAGCCGGGGGGGGGGGGGAGGAGAATCATTCCTGGTCCTGGCCTTCTCCTGGCACATAATTCCTATGTGCCAGGAGAGCTCCAGCACCATCCTAATGAAGGCCGGGTAAGTTCTTTTATTTTAAAAAGGGGTTTTGGAGAAGGGGTTAGGGTGTCCAAGTGTTCTCCATGAAGGTTCTATAAGTGCATCTGGACACCCAACCTATAAAACATGTGGTTTCTGGGGCATGTGTGGATGAGAACCTGTGAATAATCTTCTGAATGTTACCTAATGTGAGCTTATGCCTCCCGTGACTAATTCAGTCCAGGCTACCATATGCATGTTCTTAACTTAAAATCAGGCTTGCAAAAAAGGTCTTATGAAAATACCCATGTCATCAGAAAGTTAGCTATTAGCATTTGCAAGAGTATAATTTGGGCAAAGCCTAAAGTATTGTTGCTGACGTAAAACACTGTTGTGTTGTAACAACAAGCTGCTATTGTGATAAACCCAGCCATATTACTTTTATTCCTGTATTTTGTGACTTGTAGACTTGGTTACATTTATTTGAAGGTAGGCCAAATATGTCAGTGGCAGTTACCTCTGGTGTATGTTTAGGGGCAGGGAGTAGAATCCAAACATCTCCCTCAGTAATGACCTGTAAATCTGTTGGGTTTTTTTAAAGCCCTGGCAGGAAAAAAGGTCATGATAACTTGACTGGACCTGTTTACCTAATGATATTTGCTTTGCTCTGCTACCTTGGTGGTCATACTCTGTTTTATTCATAGTTGTATTTATATCCTGCCTTTTTTCTCCCAATGATCTCAAGGTGGCCAGCACAAGTCTCCACCTCACCAGCCTTTTTATCCTCGCAACAACTCTGTGAAGTAAATGAGGCTGAGAGAGTGGGATTGGCCCAGCTACCCTGTAAGTTTGATGGTTCAGTGGAAATTTGAAGCTGATTTCCCAATTTTCAGTCTAGTGTTCTAATTGGGTAATGCACATCAGCTTCTGTTTAAACCAGACCTGGACATTTTGAAAGGCTGGGAAAGTTGCCATTGTTTTAAAAATAGGAATTGCTATCAGGCTGGCATGTGATACATCCCTGCAAGCAATTACCTACTGAGAATACAATGCCAAGACTGCATACTGAAATTTTGTTTTGGGATCTTTAATTCTGAGATTCAGGTACACTACGAAAGTAGCAGGCTTTCCCTTTTGCAATGAAGCATTCTTACATATCTACAACATCCAAAGCAGGCATGACTATGGCCATCTGGAGAAGTTGCTCTTCTTGAGTGGCCAACAGAGCACTTTGGTATGCATAGTCACAGCTCTTGAGTTTCTTTTGAACTCCACATGTCTCTCTTCATGGTGTTTTCTTCATTTTTGGCAGCTGGAAACACCTTGCTACAAATGGAAAATGAAATGTCAAACTGTTGGTCAAATAAATACCAGTACCTAAAACAGTGAGGGCTTATAACCAGTGTTGAGAAGAAAACAGTCACTTGGAATTATTCTGATACTTGAAAAGTGAACTGGTGTTTTATAGTTGTTCAATAATAGAAGTAGAATAATTAGTCAGCCAAACTAAATATATAGTTCATATATAGTTAAATCTTAATTTCCACATAAACATGTAATTATGTCTCGCAGGTACTATGTAAAACCATTAATTAAAAAAGGTGATCATGTTGCATTCCAGAGCACATATACAAAAGCTTGTCTCCTACCAGATGATTAACAGAGAACTGCAACCATAGTACTTTCGGCAATTGATGTTAGAGATGATTGTCATGAGGAAGTACTCCTATGAGTGACATATTATTCCTATATTTGAATTCTGCTCCTCCAAAGAGCCGAACGTTCTCATAGTCATCCTATTTTAGCCTTACAACAAGCCTGTAGGGAGGCTAACCTGAAATTTTGTGACATATCTAAACTTTCTAACAAGTTCTAAACCACTTTAACTTAATGCTGTCGAACCATGGCAGTTGTAATTTGGTGAGGCACCAGCACTCTTTAGCGGAGAAGGCTAAAGACCTTTTTTAAAAACTACAACACTTAAAACCCCATAGCATTTAGCCATGGCAGGGAAAGTGGTGTCAAACTGCATTCATTCTATAATTCTGGAAGTTGAAGTCCAAAACACTGGAAGGCCGAAGTTTGCCCTGGCTTGCTCCAGAGCATTGAGCCAGGGCGATTGCAAAGTGGTCACGTGGCGTTCACGCGACTGATCTCCGGTCACGTGACTCCCTTGAGCCCCAGTAGTCACTTCCAAGGCGTTGCCTATGTTGTTGTTGTTGTTCATTCGTTCAGTCGTCTCCGACTCTTCGTGACCTCATGGACCAGCCTACGCCAGAGCTCACTGTCGGCCGTTACCACCCCCAGCTCCCTCAAGGTCAGTCCAGTCACTTCAAGGATGCCATCCATCCATCTTGCCCTTGGTCGGCCCCTCTTCCTTTTGCCTTCCACTTTCCCCAGCATAATTGTCTTCTCTAGGCTTTCCTGTCTCCTCATGATGTGGCCAAAGTACTTCAACTTTGTCTCTGGTATCTTTCCCTCCAATGAGCAGTCGGGCTTTATTTCCTGGAGGATGGACTGGTTGGATCTTCTCGCAGTCCAAGGCACTCTCAGAACTTTCCTCCAACACCACAGCTCAAAAGCATCGATCTTCCTTCGCTCAGCCTTCCCTAAGGTCCAGCTCTCACATCCGTAGGGTTACTACAGGGAATACCATGGCTTTGACTAGGCGGATCTTTGTTGCCAGTCTGATGTCTCTACTCTTCACTATTTTATCGAGACTGGACATTGCTCTCCTCCCAAGAAGGAAGCGTCTTCTGATTTCCTGGCCACAGTCTGCATCTGCAGTAATCTTTGCACCTAGAAATACAAAGTCTGTCACGGCCTCCACGGTTTCTCCCTCTATTTTCCAGTTGTCAATCAGTCTTGTTGCCATAATCTTGGTTTTTTTGACGTTTAGCTGCAACCCGGCTTTTGCGCTTTCTTCTTTCACCTTGATTAGAAGGCTCCTCAGCTCCTCCTCGCTTTCGGCCATCAGAGTGGTGTCATCTGCATATCTGAGGTTGTTAATGTTTCTTCCAGCAATTTTCACCCCAGCTTTGCATTCATCCAGCCCCGCACATCGCATGATGTGTTCTGCATACAAGTTAAAAAGGTTGGGTGAGAGGATGCAGCCTTGCCGTACGCCTTTCCCAATCTGGAACCAGTCTGTTGTTCCGTGGTCAGTTCTGACTGTTGCTACTTGGTCCTTGTACAGATTCCTCAGGAGAGAGACAAGGTGGCTTGGTATGCCCATCCCACCAAGAACTTGCCACAATTTATTATGATCCACACAGTCAAAGGCTTTAGAATAGTCAATGAAACAGAAATAGATGTTTTTCTGAAACTCCCTGCCTTTCTCCATTATCCAGCGGATATTGGCAATCTGGTCTCTCGTTCCTCTGCCTTTTCTAAACCCAGCTTGAACATGTGGCAACTCTCGCTCCATGTATTGCTGGAGTCTTCCTTGCAGGATCTTGAGCATTACCTTACTGGCATGAGAAATAAGGGCCACTGTACGGAAGTTGGAGCAGTCTTTCGCATTTCCCTTTTTTGGTATGGGGATATAAGTTGATTTTTTCCAGTCTGATGGCCATTCTTGTGTTTTCCATATTTGCTGGCAAATGGCATGCATCACCTTGACAGCATCATCTTTTAAGATTTTAAACAGTTCAGCTGGGATCCCGTCGTCTCCTGCTGCCTTGTTGTTAGCAATGCTTCTTAAGGCCCATTCAACTTCACTCCTCAGGATGTCTGGTTCTCATTCATTCACCACACCGTCATAACTATCCTCAATATTATTATCCTTCCTATACAGATCTTCTGTATAGTCTCGCCACCTTCTCTTGATCTCTTCAGCTTCTGTTAGGTCCCTGCCATCTTTGTTTCTTATCATACCAATTTTTGCCTGAAATTTACCTCCAAAGGCGTTGCCTTATTACGCCTAAAATCAGGTTACATTGATTGTAACCTACTTTTTCTGGAAACTTGCATAATTGAGTGTGTGTGTGTGTGTGTGTGTGTGTGTGTGTATGAATGAGTAAGGCTATGTTGTTGTGGTCATTGTACAACTTTGGCCAAGCCTCTCACTATATCTTTGGTCTTCAAGCAGCAGGCACTGCTGATAGCAGAACAGCTTGTTTTTTTCTTTTTGACTGTATGTGAGAGAAAAGGCACCTAGGACCTTAGTACTTCTGTAGAAGAGAACAACGCCGCTATGCTTGTTGAAGTTTAGTCTGTTGTGACTGTTAAAGTTGCAGTCTTGTCCTTCTTCTACATCTGGCCATCTTAGCCAGAGAAGGAAAAAGACAGACATACGTGATACAGCGTTAACTGTGGATATCATTACTAGTTGGAGTAGTTGAGGATTCCTAGGTCTTAAAAGATCACATGATGTACTCGACTCTCTTCCTGTCCAGCCTCATATAGTCTTGAGCCCTGCCCTTACTTGATGGACTTAATGTACACTAATCATTATGACACCAATGTGGTTTATTGGTTTGAGTGTTGGACTGTGACTCTAAAGACCAAGGTTCAAATCCCTGCTCAGCCATGAAAACCCACTGGTTGATCTTGGGTTGGTCTCTCCCCATCTGAAAACCCTGTGATGGGTTAGCTTTAGAGTTGCCACAAGTTGAAAACAACTTTAAGTCCCAAAACAGCAACAAGAACATCAGTGTTTCTCAGCAGATTTTTTTCTCCAAGTATATATTTGAGGAATAATTCAGACAATCGTGGGAGTGGCTAAATGTTTGGTGAATGATAGCCTTGATAAATTTGTATTTTAGATATAAATCTCAAAAATGTGTCAGTGTAGATAATATCACTGTGTTTTAAGTTCAGCAAATTAAAACCATTTAAACTAGTTATGATTACAAGATGAGTAGGTATCCTTAAGAAATGTTTTGTAGGTGAACATTAGCTAACGTATGATCTGTGGGTCACTTAGAAAACCACATAATCCTGTTCTGTGGCTTACCACAGAACAGGATTCTGGATCTAAGTATAATGACAATGTTTCTTCCTAAACCAATGATTTTCAGTAGTGACCTCAAGCTACAGGGTCAAGTGTTTGGTTTAGAGGTAATTTAGGCCCTCTTTAGTCAGATCTAGGGAAGGTACAAACCTGATGGATCCCCCACTTTTGTTTTTCTACCCCCAGGGCCCTCAAAGCACCTCAAGTTTCATTTGTGGTCAAAATATGATTGTGCAACCCACAGGGGTTTGGGAAGGGGATGCAAAGTGCCCCCCTCCTCCAATTTCCCATCCTTGCTCTAAACCCTGTCCAGCCATTCACTGACTCATGCAAGAGCTGAAAGCATATAAAGGATTAGGGCAGGGGTCCTCAAACTAAGCTAAGGGCCAGTTCACAGTCCCTCAGATTGTTGGGGGACAACAACTATAGTTTGAAAACATTGGCCATCTAGTTGAACCCCCTGCCATGCAGAAAAAAAGCCAATCAGAGTACCCCTGAGAGATGGCCATCCAGCCTGTATTTAAAAGCCTCCAAAGAAGGAGTTTTCACCACACCCTAAGGCAAGGAGTTCCACTGTTGAACAGCTCTTATGGTTAGGAAATGCTTCCTAATGTTCAGGTGGAATCTTCATTCCCCTAATTTGAACCCATTGGAGCACTCCACCAGTCACTTCCTTCCAGGATGAAGAGGAACCAATGGTGGCATCCTTTGGGTTTGGTCGCTTAACCAATTACAATTTTACCTAACGGTAGTATTGTTTAACCCACATTTTACATGAACAAATTCCTATGCACACTGCACATATCTTATTTGTAGTGCAAAAAAAAAAAAAGAAAGAAAGAAAGAAAGAAAAATAAAAGAAAGAACAATACAATATTTAAAATGAAGAACAGTTTTAACCAACATAAACTTATCAGTATTTAGATGGGAAGTGTGGGCCTGCTTTTGGCTGGTGAGAAAGTCAGGATTGTTGATGTTGTGTGCCTTCAAGTCATTTCAGAATTAGGTGATTCTAAGTCTAAAGTTTAGGTCAGAAAATTACCTTGGAGGGCCTAATCTGACCTGTGAGCCTTAGTGTGGGGACCCTGGATTAGGTTATGGATTCCCCTCCTCCCCAGGAGTTGCAACTATTATGCAATGACATATGGTATTTTGAAACAAACCAATATTCGTAACAACAACACCCTTTCCCTAGCCAGTTATCTTCAGTATATCTTGGACTGTAAATCTGATCATACTGTTAACAGTATGTTCAGTGAATGTTGCCATCTAACATATCAAAAGGATGACATCCTCTGAAGGTTAGAAATATGATGAACTTGTGAAATGCAGGATATCTGTATCTCCATTTTTTTGGCTTTATTCTGGCCTTCCACATTTGTAGGGCCACCCATCCAAACAGTTTCCGCTCTGCCATAAGTCCCCTGGCATGCCTTCCTCCCAACCCAATCTAAGCTGTGGGATGTTTTGTACCTGGATACTTTTAAGCAAAGGGACCTGACTGTTTGTCATCTACCTCTGTCTTTGCAGTGTCTGACTACAGTTGCATTCTGAACATTAGCGAAGAGGAAGCCAGGTTGAAGGCTCTGAATGAGTATCTCAGCACCCGTAGCTATATCCAGGGGTTCACATTTTCATATGCAGATGTGGAAGCTTTCAGACAGCTTTCAGGCCCACCTGTGGACCAGTATTTCCACGTGGTTCGTTGGTACAGGCACATAGAAGCAATCTATGATGGCAGCAGTGAGAAACGTGACTCCTGTAAGCTCCAAACAAGTGAGTAGTAACAGGGAGTTAAAGACCTTGATTTCTAAATTGAAAAATAAGCAAAGCCCATGTTAAGGGTTACTCTGTTGCTCTTATTTTACATGGAGCTTCTGCCTTTGATTACCATTGTTTTCTGTACTTTTACAGTGAGACATCAAGCTACCATACATTTTGTATCAAAATTATTGGCTACTATTTGCCCATTAACTTTCATCCCATCCCTCCTCAAAGGAGCTTTCTTCTGTCTTTCTTCATATCAAGCATGTGATGTTGGGTGAAAGGAACAAGTAAGAAAGGGAATGATTGGGACAAGTGGTCAAGGGACTTTATGGCGAAGTGGAATTTGAATCTCTCCAGTCCTACTTCTGCATAAAAAAAGGAAAGTCTGAAATGATCACTTGCATCTTTGAAGGACCTTGGCTTCCTAATGCTGGGTGGAGAAAGGAAAAATGGCTGGAGACGTATGTACATGCTGCATCCTCTTCTAATGTTTAAAGAGAATGGAGAAGGAATTATAGAGAAGGAAGGTCCATGTGACTCCTCCCCCATATTAATCATTTACATGACTACAGTGATTTGCTGATTAGCAAAATCTGGACTGAAATACATTTTAGTCCTTTGACAAAAACTAGAGGATGAAATTTAAAATAATTTTTTAGCTTTGTCATAGATGTTCGACAATGCCAGTGTCCCTGTCTTTCATCCTTTTCCTGCTAACTAGGAGCAAAGTTCCACCCACATTATTTATTTACTATAGAAAAATGAATTGATAATTAGTATTCCTTTCCAGTGAAAAGGAAGATAAATCTGGCCGTCAGCCTGCGGAATGTAATACTCTCTGTATTTATGGAAGATTTACTTATAATAACTGTTTACAAATATGTCATCATAATATATTAGATCCACTAGCCAAGCTGTATGTAAATTGGTTCCTGTACTACTGTGCTTTGATACCAATATTTAATATGTTTACATTGAGCTCCAAGTATGTGCTGTAATTTGATTCCAGGATCTGCTATGGATACCAAAATCCATGTATGCTCAAATACCATTATATACAATGTTGTAGTAAGATTGCCTCCCTCGTATAAAGCAAATTAATGTTCTCTAGAACAATGTGATCTCTTTGCATAGCTGTTTTCCCAACACATTATGCTAATCATGGCTGAATTTTCTGAAGCTGCCTCAGGCACAGAAGGCATATACGGGACTAGTAGAAAAATTGGTTTGAAACTCGCATTCTTTTTAAGATGATATAGGCTCATCTAGTGTTAGCACTGAATTCAGCATTTTCCATCTTCCACAAAGTTGAATATAAATAACCGCAGTAGGATTGTTTGAAGTGGTGGAGCATATCTGGAATTATCAATTGACTGTTGCTTTCACTGCTCTGACCTTGGATGATGAGATTTCTGTCACAGTGGCTTGACAATATATTTTATTTAAGCTGTTTTTAAATGTTATTTAATGAACTGGCATTTGTATTCTACTGTTCTTTTCATGGTTCAAAGCCCCACTTTATCTTCATATCAACTCTTCACTATCTTCACAATGACCTTGCAAAGTAGGTCAAGCTTAGAGTGAGTTGTTAGCCCAGAGTCATGCTGTGAGTTTCATATTTTATTGGCAAGTGAAATCTGGATGACCCTCATGCCAGCCCATACTTTCATTGCTGCATTTTAGTAGCTCCGTAATATTGTAAACAAAGGATCATTGCAGATCAAGTGAACAAGAAACGATAGGAAGCTTTGTTCTATTACATCAGAATTTCTTTAGAACTAATAAGAACTTATGTAATTGCTTGCAGTGAATACTTTTTAACATCTCAAAAAGCTGTGGGTGGATTCTCATATACCTTACTATTATATCATATTTATGATTTATTTTATTATGTTTCTTTATACCCCGCTTTTTCTCTCCACAAGGAAACTCATCCTAAGAGCAGTTATAGATATATAGTTCTTATAGATCATGCATGTAGGTTTGTTTCAAAAATATTACTTTCCTAATAATATACTTGAACGTGCTGGAACGTACCTCTCACAAAAGCTGAGCTGAATGTTAGCATTTTTCTTTGAGGACACCAGAGGGCGAGCTGGGAAACTGTTGAAAATGCTTTCAGCCATCTGCCAATATTACTTTTCAGTCCTGTTTGAGAAATGTGTTTGTAGAATGTCACTGAAAGTCATTTTGGTTAGTTTGGTAGTATGTTCAACAACAATAAATGTAAAGTGTTTATTTCTAGTTTTTATTGATTTCATTAATTTTCCCCATCTAGAGGAATTACATATAGGACAAGATACAGAATCTGAAACAAAGAGATGAGTGATGCTTAGCAGTTCAGGTTTCATTGCATTTCAGATATATGGGCTTTTTATTATTTTAGATTTCAAACAGTGTTTTTAGTATTTGGGATCTAAATAACTATAAACTGGGACACATTGGGCAATAGTCATCATCTGTATTCTATTTCATTCTAATACTTCCCCCAGAACTGTGTGCCTCTGCACATACATCTGAGTACACTTAAATGTTGTGCTCCTTCTGTGCATCTGAGAAAATGTATTATAATTAATGAAATCTTATTTTAAAATAAATCTGTTTGTTCTGAAGGCTTGTAATTTCCCCAAACCCTGTTTTTAGTCTGATGAGAAGAGCCTTGCTACATAATGCAGTGATTCTCAACCTGTGGGTGTTTTGGCATACAACTCCCAGAAATCACAGCAGTTTACCAGCTGTTGGGATTTCTGGGAGTTGAAGGCCAAAACATCGGGGGACCCATAGGTTGAGAACCACTGACATAATGGGATACCCAGAAAAGTCAGGTCTTCATTGTCTGCAAAGGCTGCATAGACAGAGGAAGCTCATGCTGTCCATCTCTACTCATGGCCCAGCTTTTCGTGTGTTTGTGTTATTTTTTGTTGAAGGCTTTGGTGTTAATTGGACAGAATCGTCCACTACAGACCAGTTTAAAGGACATGATAGTACAAGCCAAATGCACACATAATATTTTTTTCCTCCTGTAATTTTCATCTCAGTGATGCCTAAGATGGCCGCCTCACTTTGTCTCACTTTGTCTCACTTTGTTTGTAGGGTTGGTCTTACTAAACAGCTGGCCCCACTTTGGATTGAAAGTAGATTTCTGGTTGGATTTGAAATTATTTCTGAAAACAATAGCAGTACCATGACTTATGTATGCTTGCATTTTTATTTTTTTGTCTTCCTGTCTACTTTCTTTCCTTTTAATTGGCTGTTGTTCTAGAATTTCTTTTGAAATAATCAATGGCGTACTAAAGGCATTTGAATCTGTTTGTGTTAGCTATCTTTTCTTGGTTTATTGTTAAAGGGAAAATAATGTAAACCTTTTAACTTTCCTTCCAGGTAAAAGCAAGCGTACCCAGCCTGCCTGGTCTCCACCAAAAGGGACATCGCAACCTAAACTCTGCCTGTACAACAGTCTTACTCGTAATAAGGTAAATCTTTTTACGTTTGTTGATAATGTTCCCTTCATAGCAAAGATTGAAACAGTGTTGCCTGAAAATGGTTATCTTGCTCTTGGGATGCCAGTAACACAGCTCTGATTTAAAAAGAAAAGCAACATACATATTCTGTGCAGCTGTTCCTTTGAATTTCAGATTGCTCATATTCTGCTGCTTATCGGTACTGTGTCTTTTTTTCCGTTTAAGGATGAGTTTCAGCCTCAAAATGGCAACAAAGTGACGTGGTATTGCTGTGGTCCAACGGTGTATGATGCCTCCCACATGGGTCATGCAAGGTATGGTGCTATTTCAAAAGGCAATTGGCTTTGATTTTTGAAGTGCAACGCCTTTCACAAAGGTTTTATGTCTGATTGATAAAGTTGCGCATGAAGGGGCCTCATTTGGTTCAGAGGTCAATTTGGCAAGTTGGATCTGAATCTGATTTGGTCTGTATCAATCTAGATACAACCGAGGCTGGATCTAAATCTAGATCAAGGTACCATAACCCCAAATCAACAGACTTAACTAATTGGCTTTGATTGAAAACCCAAAAGTGACCATATATGTCGCAGATATGCACATAAAATTTGGAGAGATTGTAGAGTCTAAGGAAAGGATTAACCCAACCAATTTCAAAGTTTTAATTCTACGAATTTACTTCTAGATACCTGTAAAATTTGCTGTTTGCCCACCACCACAAAAAAACTGTAGCCAAAAAGTGACTGATAAGATTCCTTGACACATCTTAAGGGAGGAAGAGGAACAATGTGAATATGTTTTACTAGTGAGGTCCCTTTGATGAAACTCCCTGTTCTCTCTTAGAGATGCTTGGTGATCTGGGGTGATAGCAGACCCTCCCTGTCATTGCCACATTCTCCCTCTATCTAACTTTTCCAGAGTTGCCTGCATTACCCTTTTGGCAGGTAGAAGAGAATGAGAACTGCTGTTGTCAGGGGATTCATCACCTTGTTTTCATCCCTTGTGTGGTTTTTCTTGGTGCTGGATCTTTTCTACCTCATTTCTGAGTAAAAACTATATGGTTGTAGCATGCTACCTTGTTTACTCTAGATCATTTTACATCACGAAATATAGCCAGTCTTTTTACACTAATTGAGTCTTCAGTCTGCTTGGTGTCATAAGCAGGAACCCAATGTTTCTTCTTTGTGATTTTAAAAATACAAGTTGTCCTGTTTCTATGATGATGATGATGATGATGATGATGGTTTATTTGTATTCTGCCCTATCTCCCCAAGGGGGCTCAGGGCGGATTCCAGCATGCACAAACTCAAAGGCAAACATTCAATGCCTAGAAACAACAAAACACAGATAAAGGTAAAAACTTGCCCTTCCAGCTCTGGGGGGTAGTGCTTATCTCAATTTATAAGCCGAAGAGTCTTCATTGTCCGTAGACACCTGCTAGGTCATGTGGCTGGCATGACTGCATGGAGCTCCATTTCCCTTTCCGCTGAAGTGGTACCTGTTGATCTACTCACATTTGTATGTTTTCAAACTGCTAGGTTGACAAAACAGCGGGAGCTCATCCCATCCCGTGGATTCAAACCACCTTCCTTCCAGTCTGCAAGTTCAGCAGCTCAGTGGTTTAACCCATTGCACCACCGCAGCCCCTTTGGCTTTTAAAAAAGCATTAAACAAATTATTTTAGGACTCTTTAAAGATCAACATTGTAGGTAGCAAGACCGTTGAGGGTTGATGTTTACTGATAGTGTCTTTTCAGCCTGTGTGTTGCCTTCCCCTGACTTTCATTGTCAGTATGAGTATTTAAAAAATGCAATTATACTTAGGAAATTGTGAAGCTATGGATGCTTTGTTTGTATAACAGCTTTGGGTTGGTGAATGTGAGATTTTTGTTGCATAAAATGGATTTGTCTTTTGACTTATTTTAGATCATACATCTCATTTGATATCCTGAGAAGAGTTTTGAAAGACTATTTCAAATATGATGTCTTCTACTGTATGAATATTACAGATATAGATGACAAGGTAAATGTAAAGTGCCGTAATACCATTATCTGTCTTCTGAGATAATACAAATAGATGAAACTATTTAATTTAGTTTTTAGTTGTACAGTAGGCCATCTACTTTTGTGAGGGTTAGAGTCATGTTATCCTTACAAAAATGGAAAAATACACATATAAACCAGCTGCTTTTTCCTTTTTCTTTTTACTGAGAGAACACCTCTCTAGGAATTGCTTAAGTTCCCCAGGGCAACTCTGTGGCCAACTTGGAGGATCTAGAGCAGTGGTTCTCAACCTGTGGGTCCTCAGGTGTTTTGGCTTACAACTCCCAGAAATCCCAGCCAGTTTACCAGTTGTTAGGATTTCTGGGAGTTGAAGGCCAAAACATTTGGGGACCCATAGGTTGAGAACCACTGATGTAGAGGTTCCTGGAGAGAAATATATTGTAGTAAGCTTGCCATATTTGATGGAGTTAGGAGCACAAGACCCCACAAAAGTGGAAAAACTGCAAATAAAAACTTTTTGAACCATAGAGAACACTTCTCTAGAAATCTCTAGATCCTCCAGCAAGACTATATGGTCACTTTTTACCAGAATTTGATTATAAAACCACTTACAAATGCCTAGAGAAATATTCTCTCCAAGAACCTCTTGGTCCTCCAACTCCTTGGGAGTGATCTTCAGGTTCTTACATTCATAGAGAGAAATGTAAGTTTTTCTTACTCATATGGAAAGTTTAAGGTTCCTACCTTTCTATTACGACTTTACAACAATGTTTTCTTTTAGAATTAGTAAATACCCTCCTTCTTTTCTTTACAACCTTCTTTTGTTTTAGTATTTTCCTTTTATCTATTGCAGAACCTTAATGTACTTTATTTAAGGTGATTAATTTTAATTATATCATCACCAGCATATATCATCACCAGCATATATCACCAGCATGTACAGTGTAATATACACAGTGCAGCAGATTCCCATAGCAGGATGCTTAAAGTCTAATTCAGACATGGGCAAACTTTGGCCCTCCAGGTGATTTGGACCATCTCCTGCAATTCCTAACAGGAATTAGGAATTGTGGGAATTGAAGTCCAAAACACCTGGAGGGCTGCAGTTTGCCCATGCCTGATCTAATTGAAACAAAAGAAATGGGGCAGTAGCAGTTGGGTGGGAAAAGGCAGAGGGAAAGTAATGAGAAGGCTTACTCGTGTATTAGTCAACCTTATATGTGTTGAAGGCAAGTTTGGGGACCAAAATCATGGACTTTGTTATGATTCATGTATAAATCAAGGGTCATTTCACAGAAAAGGAAAAGCACCAGTGCTGCCTTGGAAACACCCACCATTTACCTTCCCTGTTATTCAAAAAGGTCAGAAGAGATGATACAGCAGAAAGAGCAGAAAGGGTTGATGATTCTCTTAAGTTCTCCCAGAATGCTGTTCTCAGAGAATGAGATGGCTCCTTTCTTTGATAAGAGTTAAGGTACAGTACTTACAGTGACCCATGAATAAGCTGACCCAGGTTTTTACGTGGATTTTTAAACTAAAATTTCTAGACCTATACCGAGGTATATACAGTAGTTTTCAGTTCTGTCATCTTTGTAAGCCTTGAAATGCTTTGCAAAATAACATACTGATTTTCAGCTTTAGATTGTTTAACTGCATTTTTGGATGCATTTTAACTGTGTTGTAGATTATAAAAAGGGCACGACAAAACCATCTCTTTCAACAGTATACAGAGAGAAAGCCATCTGCTACTCAGCTGCTTGAAGATGTTCAGATTGCCTCTCAGGTAGGTTCTCATATTGTGAGATCATGCCCACTTTATGAACTGCCTCTCTCTTGTGTCCCTTCTCCTCATGCTACTTTTTCATCTGCCTTCCCACACTGGCAGTCAGATATAAGCCTCTGCATTCTCTCTCTCTCTTAGTAATTCTTATAGAGTTCCATATTCTGCTGGAAAATGGATTTTGGATGCAAAAGTGAAATTGCAGACCATGTCCTCTAATAGGTGTAGGTAGAAATTTAGATTTTAAAAAATGTAAAGTATTTTAAAAATCTAAGTAATAATGCTCTAGGGCTTGTGGGGAGAAGGAATGTGCAGTCTCCAGACCATAGATATGTCAAATGCTGAAATGTGTGTGTATGTATGTATATATATATATATATATATATATATACACACACACACCCAGTCTGCCAATCTTGCCTCCCACTGTGATTTGAGTACAGCCCTTGGGACCAGAAAGGCTGTGTACACCTACCTTATGTACTTCTACACTATACAATTAATGCATTTTGACATATTTTTTTCTGTCATGGCTCAATATTTGGAGTTGTAGTTTCTGAAGCACCATCCCTCTTTGGCAGATATAGCTAAAGGTCTTGTAAAATCAAGCACTCGTGATATTTGTAGCATTGAGCCATGGCAGTTAATGTTGTTTCAAATTACATTAATTCTACAGTGAAGGTGTAGCCTAAAACACTTGATTATTTTTTTTGCCCTGAGTATTTTAGTATCTGTACAGACTATATCGTTTTTGCTAAAATATCTGTTTTATACCTTGAAGAATCTTTCATTCAGTTTTGTATTTACATTGAATTCATGTTTCTTCAATCAGCCATTTTCAGCTAAGCTACAAGAAACCCCTGACCCTGATAAGAAACAAATGCTGGAAAGGATTCAGGCTGCGGTGAAGGTTGCTGTGGAATCTCTAGAAAATGTGCTCAAAAAGAAACTCTCTGAAGGAGATGTCAGTAGACATGCTGAGGTTTGTCGTTGATGGATTTCAGGTTTTGTAGGGTTGATGCTCTTTTCTGAGACAAGGCATTTATTTCAAGTAGCAAAGCTGAGAGAACCGAAATTTCTTCATGATGACAAAAACTATTTCCTTGTGATCTTCCAAAATGTGTTTCTTAAAGATCATCTTCAATTTCCTGAATCCACATATCACTTAAGTTGGTACTCAATTGTATCAGATGTATGTCTGCCAGTGGATTTACACTGTTGGCAGAACAGATTCCTTTTTTATCCACAGCTTTCTTTTCCATTCCTAATCTGTTACAGAGAAAATGTGATGAATGGGATACATTGGGGAAGAAAAGCAAGAAAAGCTCCCTTAGCTTGACCAGAGGGTCACTAGTATCACAGTGCATAATCAAGTGATAGATAAATCAATTCTCAAAGCCCAAAACCAAAGGGACAGGTATATCTTCTACAAGTTCATAGAATCTATTCAGCTACCTTACTGCAACCACTGGCTCCCTTCAAAGTATGCCTTAGATTAGGCCTACACAACCTGCAGCCCTCCAGGTGTTTTGGATGTTAGCTCCCAGAATTCCTGGCAATTGGAACAGCTGGCTAGGTTGGGCAGGCCTAACTTAGAGTAAGAATACCTATTGAAGCAATGAAACACCAAGGGCTGCAAAGACCAGGAGAAGACAGCTTTGCTAATATGTGAAGGTTATCGTTGGATCCAGGTTAAAAAATAATACTGGCAACTAGAAACACAGCAAAGACTGCACTGGGAAAAATCATGAATTGTGATAAGAGTGCTGTTTTGTTAGTTACATATTTATTTATTTCCAGGTATTGTTACAAGAAGCTAAAGATATACTCGCTGAGTGGCTGGATGGTAAACTTGGCAGTCAGGTGACTGATAACTCAATATTTTCCAAGCTACCCAAATTCTGGGAAGAGGAGTATCATAACGATATGGCAGCTCTCAATGTAAGTAGCTTTGCAGATTCAACAACAACAATATATATATATATATTAATGGTTATGCTGATTTGTTATAAATGCACTGTCCTTGGAAGGCTGAGAAAGAAGACATACAATGCTACATTGTAGTTGCAACTCTAGTGGTGGATTTGGATACATAATTTAGTATAATTTTAGGCAATGTGTTGACACTTTCCTTTGGTGATCTCCTTTGTTACAACTGTAACAAAGATATAAATCGTGATCTAATTTCTTGTCATTGGCCCAGTAGTGATGGTTTTCATTTTAGCCTCTGATTTTATTTCAGCTTCAGCTCTTAAGTTTTTGCAGAGATAACATTTTAGCGTGTTTCAACATAAAATAAAGATGAGATTACAAATGCAGGAACTGGGCAGAACTTTTGAAGCTTCCATAGATAGCAGTCCATTTCTCTCAGAAGAACAGCTTGAGTAACTCTGGAATTATAAATATGTGTGGCTGTACTTCCAGCTCTATTAATGCATCTTTTTGGATGTTCTTATTAATATTCCAGAGCTTAGAAAAATTACATTTTGGATGGCTAAGGATTTGGGACGAGCATGGCATAGTGGTTTGGATTTTGGATGAAGACTCTAAATACTAGGTTTCAAATCTTCATTTAACCTGGAAATCCACTGTATGAGTCCTGGACAAATCAAACTCCCCCAGTCTTGGCAAACTTGTGAAAAAAAAATGTTGCCAAGAAAGCCCTGTGATGGGTTTACCTTAGGGTTGCCATAAATTGGAAATTACTGGAAGGCACATAACGACAAAGAGATTCTGAGAGTAATCCAAGAAAATAATTTTTCAGGTTCTGTCATGTGAATGAGACTTGACTCAAGGAGATTGTGCCTTAAATTGTTTGTTTGTTTCTAGGTATTACCTCCAGATGTCTTAACTCGTGTTAGTGAATATATACCTGAAATTGTAGACTTTGTTCAGAAGATTGTAGATAATGGATACGGGTAAGTATAGGTGGGTTTTATTTTTTCTTCGATTTATAAAGTATTTATATAATGTGATCATTTGTTTCTTGATTATTTTGAGATGCAACAGCAACATTACAGGGCATGGAAAGGTACATTTCAGATTATAACTCTCGGACTCACCAATCTGTATGGTCATTAACTATGGTGACTGTGGAACATTCTGAGATTTGCAGTTCAAAAATACATTTTCAAAACTCCGGGTTTGTGACTGTTCCAGTGCTAATTAGAGCTTTGGGTAAAATTGTGTTTTTATCTTCTAGTTATGTGTCCAATGGATCTGTCTATTTTGACACAGTGAAATTTGATGCCTCAGAAAAACACTCCTATGCTAAGTTGGTCCCTGAAGCTGTGGGAGATCAAAAAGCCCTCCAGGAGGGTGAAGGTAAGTCAATAGAGTTATTGAATGTATAAAGACAATTTCTGAAAGGTTCATGAATATTTGAAAGAGTTGCTCTCTTATCTTTCACAGGTGACCTGAGTGTCTCAGCAGATCGTTTAAGTGAGAAGCATTCTCCAAATGACTTTGCATTATGGAAATCCTCCAAACTTGGAGAGCCCTCGTGGGAATCTCCTTGGGGAAAAGTAAGGACAATGGGTTGAATGGAATAGAGCAGTTGCATGGGCTGAAAACAGTTATTCTCACATGTAGAGAGGAGAGGAATTGATTGTTTACTTTAACTAAAGCACTCTATGACCCCCTAAAAATCAACTTGGAATTCCCCCAGCCCGCCCACATATATTCTGAATCCAGTTTGAAGGAGACTGGTGTCTTGGAGGAAAAAGACTATAGGTTCACTTGCAAGCAGAAATGCCTTCTTGCATTGGATTCAAGGCACTGCTATTGTGCACTTTGTAGCTGGCATCTACTAGAATAGGACTTTTCACAATTGATGTGTTGAGTGGTCAGTCATTTAGTGAATGATGAGGGTTGCTTTGAATGAGATTTGAGGGGGATGCCTAGTTTTTAAACGTAGTTTTAATTATATTTTCACTTTTACACTTATGACAAAAAAAATTTTTTTAAATTTTTATATTCATATGTATATGCATTCACATTGTTTCAAATTTCTATTGACGTATGGTGTGTCACTGTTAGCTGCCTTGAGCCCCTGTGGGGGAAAGGTGGAATAAAAATAAAAATAAATAAATAGATAAATTCCATTGATTCCGTGGTTTTACTCCAATCAAGATGTATGACAGGATTTAACCTTCTATGTATTTTTGTATGTAGGTATGTGTGATTCATATAAACTCAACAATAAGCATTTTTTAATGTAATGAAGCATAGGTTATACTTTTAAGTAGCAAGCTAGCACCACAGAGCCCTGCCAAAGGCAGGGCTTGTGGTGCTTTAATTTTTTTCATTACAGTCTAATCCCACCATTGGCAATGTATTGGAATTTCAGATTTCAATCATTTATGTCATTTATGTTCCTACTGTTTCCTTGTTGAAATTATATCTGCAGTATTTTCTAACCCCAGACTTTTGGGGTTAGAAAAATTGTTCTCTCATCTAGTAACTTCAACAGTCAACCCACTCGATGGCCATTGTTTTATTTACTCAGTAGAATGCGGAACCTGTATATCATTTAGTTGGTTTTTTGAGGGGCAGATTTTCCCATAGTTGGGTTTCCCTTTGAATTTTTAATTTCTTTCTTAGATTGTGGACTCCAAAACCAAATATCTTTCATATGATTTTTAACACTATGTTAAGTAACATTCTTAACAATTTTACAAAATATGATAGTCAAAGCTTTATGACAGTATGACAGACTACCTTAGAGGGTGGTAGAATCTCTTTCATTGGAGCTTTTAAAGGGAAGTCTGATGGCTAGCTGTCAGGGCCACTTAGCTGTGAATTCCTGTGGTTGTTTTGATTTTGTGTCTGATACATGAATTGTTAACATACAACTTGTGTGTTATATAGAGCCCTGGCTTCTAGCACTCCTACCATTTTACTATTGATGTCGGCTGTGCTGCCACATGCATGTGCACATGACATACTTTCCTGAACGCATCTCATGTATTTGGCCACATTTATGAACTTCCATCTTTGGAAATAATGAATGAAATGAGAGAGAGAGAGATAGTAATCTACTACATAAAAGTGCAGCAAGACTTCTTTAAATAAATATAAAATCCTGTAATTATTATTTTATAAATAGATAGCAATTCTATAGTTATATTGTCATGTACAGATGTTCTTTATTTCAACTGAAGGCATTACTTTTGGCTTTGTGTGAAGACATAGGGCTATGGAAAGAGACTCAATCTGAAGCAATCCAATACTATAGCAATTAAGTTCAGGCATAAAATAGAAATTCTGCATCTAGCAGTATATTTCCACAATCCTGTTAGTGATCATAATCAGTATTACTCTGTAATTGTATTGGTGATTTTTTTTTCATAGGGCCGTCCGGGATGGCATATTGAATGTTCCGCAATGGCTGGGTCCATTCTAGGAGAGTCGATGGATATTCATGGTGGAGGTTTTGATCTTCGATTTCCTCACCATGACAACGAATTGGCACAGTCTGAGGTAAGCAGTTGTGGTACAGGCAGTCCCCAAGTTATGAACAAGATAAGTTCTTTAGGTTGCTTCTTAAGTTGCATTTATTTGTAAGTCAGAATAGGTACATTTTTAAAGTGTAACTCCAGCCACACACACACACACAAGCTTTGGATAGCATAGGGAAGAGAAAACATCCCTGTAGTGTTTGTTTTGCTGTCTGTGCCTCTGTTCAGAAAATTTCACCTACCTTTCTGTTCCTGTAGTAATTTGATTTTGAAAACTTTGGATTGCTGTGGAAAAAGCTGGTGAGAAAGTTCAGTGGCAACACCTTTCCCCCATGATAACTCTTTCAGGAGTGAATTTCCCTTCCTAGGGGTAGATTTCTCTCACTTCCTGTTTCACCCATTAACTATGAGTTCTTTGTAAGTTGGATGTTTGTAAGCTAGGGACTACCTGCCTGTATTGTGTTTTTTTCTGTGTTTGCTCTCCTTCCACTTGAACTCTGCTGCTCATTTGACTGACATTTATAACACAGGTTATGTAGATTTGTAGGTTTTAGTATCTATAGTTTTAGAACATCCACGGTTCTAGTTTACAAAGTAATTAGAGCTTCTTTAAAAACCCAAGAAAGCAATGGTTTTAAAACTGTTTTCTTCTTCTATTTTCATCTGTTTAACACTCCTATTTCTATAAGACAAGAGGACTGTAGAGCCAAAGCACTGGCCTTAGCTGTGCCTTCTCCATTCAGACATCACAGCAAATCCATGTTAGCACAAAATTATATTTTGCAACCTTTGCATCTGATTCTAATTTGCCGGTTCACTGTCAACTGCTATTTGTAAACCTGACATGATGTTCAGCTTCTTCCAATCTGGTTTGAAGTGATGCTTAAATGATTGGATGTCTGGATACTTTGGATGTAATGGCCAGACACTAATTATATGGTTTGAGCCTATAATCAAGGGTCTGGGGAACAAGCCATATGAGGACTGGCTTAAAGAGCTGGGCATGTTTAGCCTGCAGAAGAGAAGGCTGAGAGGAAACGTGAGGGTCATGTATAAATATGTGAGAGGAAGTCATAGGGAGGAGGGAGCAAGATATTTTCTGCTTCCCTGGAGACTAGGACATGGAACAATGGCTTCAAACTACAAGAAAGGAGATTCCATCTGAACATTAGGAAGAACTTCCTGACTGTGAGAGCTGTTCAGCAGTGAAATTCTGCCCAGAGTGTGGTGGAGGCTCCTTCTTTGGAGGCTGTTCAGCAGAGGCTGGATGGCCATCTGTCAGGGGTGCTTTGTATGCTTCTTGGGGTTGTACTGGATGGCCCACAAGGTCTCTTCCAACTTTATGATTCTATGATTCTAGGTCTTATGCACTCCTTTATCCCCTCAGTAATATTGATTCTCTTCCTGAATTCTCCGAGGTGCTTATCACACTATGTTCTTACATTTTTATAGCATCTTTTTAATCCTCCGTTGCCTCATGCATATGCATTTCATGACATTAAAGTTCTTTACATGTTGTGCTGTAGATTAATTGTCACTCTGAGCTTCTATTAAGGAGGCATCAGTGAAGCCCCAGACTTTGAAATCACTTCTATTCACAGTGATCACCTCAGTGTTCAGCTCTTGGGGTGGGAGTTCTTTCTGCATAGAAAGAGCTCTATGTGATAAGGCTAGACTTTGTCCTTCTGTAGTTCAAACTCACTTTTAGACCTAAAATGAATTCAGTGGTGCTAGCTTTAAGACCATGGGAGTCTCCATTTTAGGCCCTTCTCTGGCACATTCTTCCAGGAGTGCAGCTACTTCAATACCTTCTGCATCCATCACACCTGTGGTGGAGATCTACAGAGTGGCCACTTTGAAATCCCCCTTCACCTTCATCAAGGGGCTACAGGCTGGACATTTTTGCCTTGGCAGAATGAGTTTTTAGCAGATGGTTGTTGCAGCAATTGGTTACCAGCATTTCCACCTGACTAGGGGAGCTTTCATATATCCCACACCAGGACATTCTTCCTTTCTCAAGACAATTTACCTCACCGGGTTGTTGTAGGTTTTTTTGGGCTGTATGGCCATGTTCTAGAGGGTTTACCTCACTCATTAGACTGTCATTTCCTGTGAAAGAATGAACAAAAAGCCTCCCTGCCTTGATTACAAGGCTGGATATTTCTTCTCATCATTTTACCCTTCTTTGGTTCTTCTACAAAAATGGGGAATAGGGAGGAATATAAGAAAGGGAAAAGAGACCCTTGCCAGAGTTTGGAATTGTCGCACAAATGACCTTGAAAGAAGGGTTACTTCTGAAATATTCACTTTAGAAGGCTTCTGGTTTCTGAAAAGGGGAACCCACTCTAGGATGTTCATCTCTTCATCCACAGGAAATGACTGCTTCACAGGTAAGACAAATGCATTCTATTCCTGTCCTGCTGTAATTGACGTTAGATTTTTTTTGTCCAAACTGGATAAAGAGTTGTGTTTTGAAGGACAGGGAGAGGATGGGAGGCTTATTTCTTCTTTGCATACTGCTGCATTCTTGTGGGTATTCATATTAAATTTTAGATGTTTTATTCCCTTATTTTTTATAGGCATACTTCGACAATGACCACTGGGTTCGCTATTTCTTGCACACTGGGCACTTAACAATTGCTGGTTGTAAAATGTCCAAATCTTTGAAAAACTTTATTACAATAAAAGATGCACTTAAAAAACATACAGGTAAGACCTCAATTTTATTATGTGAAAGGCTGCATCCAGTTCTTCTAAATATCATTTTAAAAAAGTTAACTACTTCCCTTTTGTATTAAATATATATATTCTTCCATATATCACAGGATCTCAAGCTAGTGTACGAATAAAGCAGATTTAAATAGTTTAAATTTAAAACATAAACAGACTTAAAAGGTATTTAAATATTTTGATGAGTTAAGGCTATTTTATCCATATATGTAGACAATTTTGGGTGAAATCAAGTAGGCCTCAAAGGCTTTAAGCTATTTTTTTAACTTGTCAATAGACGGAATCCAGCTCTGGTGCCAGTTGGGCTGGACTCTTCTTCCTCCTCACACAACGTATTTTGACTACTGTTGGGACACAAAAGAGGGACCCATCTGGATACAGTAGATACACAGACCTAAGGAGAGTGATTCATTCAACTAAGGAGCCAGCATGGTGTAGTGGTTTGAGTGTTGCACTACAGTTCTAGAGGGCAGGGTTCAAATCCCCGCTATGTAATTAAAAATCTTGGGCAAGTCACACTCTCAGTGTCAGTGGAAAGGAATGGCAGCCTACTTCTGAACAAATCTTGGCAAGAAAACCCAGTGATATGGTTGCTTTAGAGTTGTCGTAAGACAGAAAGGATTTGAAGGCACAGAACAACAGCAAACTCCTTCATGAACCAAGATCACAAGCCATTTAGGACTTAAAATATTGGAGGAAAAGTTATCAAACTGACTTGCTTTATTCATATAAAAGCTGGAGAGTTTCCATCTTGGAAGATTTCTTTTCTATCGCAATTTAGATTTTTTTTACTGTTACCATGTACTGTGCAGAACTTTCTTAATCTTTGGAAACTCTCAACAGCTCGGCAATTACGGCTGGCTTTTTTAATGCATTCTTGGAAGGACACACTGGACTATTCCTGCAATACCATGGAGTCTGCCATTCAGTATGAGAAATTTATGAATGTAAGTTGGTGTTTTCAGATTTTTCTGAAATTATCAGGTGTTATTCAGACAAAATATGTTTTCTAAATTTGCTACTTAGCTTTTTTTAAATAAAAAGCTGAATTTGAATAGATGTATTCATGTGCTTCACCATGGTATACCTTTGAATCTCAACCAGGAAATAGATTAAGAATTGGAAGTACCTCTAAAATCCGAAATATTTTCTATCAGCTGTCTGTGTCTTCCTTCGAGATGGCAGCTGTAGCTTTCTCATTTATCTCTCAGGGTCCTTCCAGACAGCCATATAACTCAGAATATCAAGGCAAAAATTCCACAATATCTGCTTTGAACTGGATTATCTGAGTCCACACTGCCATATATTCCAGTTCAAAGCAGAAAATGTGGGATTTTATTCAGATATATGGAAGGGGCCTCAGAGCCTGACAAGATGAACAAGCGGAAGTGCTGCAACTACTTCTGCTTATTCAGCAGGCAGCTGATGGCAAAAAGAGAGATAGAGGTTCTGAGAGATAAATGAGCAAGAGAGCCATAACCACCATTTCAGAGGGCTTTTATCATGGGCTGAGACAGAATGGCACAATAAAAATTAGGAAGACGCTAGCTGTAAGAAAAAAAAAGTAATTTAAATGCTAGGAATAGTTTTTAATATGTAAATTATAACTTTGACTGTTCCTTATGCCCCTTTAATGGAGTAAATGAAGGAGATGATGTTCTGGAAACTCTTAACTGTTCCCCTCTTTCTTTCAAACTTCAGAAAATAACCACAGGTTTCAAAACTTTCCCTGGTGAAACTGAACATTTCCATTTAGTTGTGCTCCAATGTTGTATGTTAATAACTCGCACTGTTCGTAACCTGTTGACAGCATCTTCTGCTAATGGGTTCCATTCCAGTGCCACAACAAAACCCAGGATGAGAAAAAGCCAGTTATTTCTGCCTGTCTTTCATCTCTATTTTGGGTGACACTGTGTGCTACAATAAGAAGATATTGATTTTTCATATATTGTTTGTGTTTTTTTAAAGAATAATATCAAATTTACATTAAATTCTGGAGTTATTTGCAAGTTAAGTTATCTTCCTAATTCAAAAACATTCCCTGCGGACTGGCAAATTCTTTTCCCAATTTAATGAGACCAACATACATTTAACAGTCATCTAGAATTCTGACTAATATATTGGGAGTATGTAAAAAGGCTGGTGAACGTTGCTCAATTACTCCCTCTTGGCTCTTTCTGCCAGTGGGAATGGATAAATTGCCCACCGTTTGAAACAAGATCCTTAGCTCACTGCTTTCTTAACAATTTGGACTCTGAAGGAGAAAACAGGAACTGACCTCAGATTGTAGTTTGCCAGGGAATCAAATTCAAGATACCAGTTTGGACATAATGTTAATAAGCCACAGACTAAGGCATCCTGGTTGTATAGGCGCTCTTACTGGAAAGTAGACCCAAGCAGAACTCATAGAGCAAACAAGCAAGCTTTCTTTACTCTCTGCAACAGTTTGTAGATCACAGTAGAAATGCTGGTGCAGGATAAATAATATAAATATTTTTTTCTACTGTTGAGGGGAATGGCTCTATATGCAGTCATGGACATCATTCTATAAGTAGTATGTTATAAATATTTAAAGAAATATGAATGAATCATTCATCTGAGTGTTATCCTAATAGCAGAGCTTGTGTTTTTTTTTTTTAAAAAAAACCACTTAGCTGTTGTAGGTTTAAAATTCAAGTATCTTGTGACATGTTGGAAATAATGTGCTTTAGATTCCTTTTTTATTGGACTATATCCACAGTCTCCCTTCTGTCAACAGATCCTGTGGAGGTTCCCACTAAAAAATTGAAGGAGGAAGCTTCACCATCTCACGATGGGTCCTCCATTGTTTTGAAGTACTATTTCCAGAACACCAGGGGAAGAGGAATGGCAGAATCCTTTCGGTGGCACATCTTGATTAAATGTTGGCAGAGTGCTGCTGCATCTGTACTCCCATTTTGGCTACTGGGTTGGAAGAACTTTGAGTTTCACCCAGGGACATTTTACCTAGTATCAAAAGGAGAGGGTGGAAAATTATTCTTAAATACATATTTAAAGTAATGGATACACTATTTTTGATTGTAAATAAGCATCAGTAATAATATTAAGGTCTGTGCATAATTATTTGTTTAGCACACATATTAAATCAATGTTATAACTTGGCTAGTTGATTTATTAGTTTCTTAGTTTATTAGTTTACTGGGACACAAAATCCAGATAATTTAAAAACCTTCCCCAGCCACTCATCCACTATCGTGGCCCATGGCTACTCAGAAGCGTTCTTCTGCTATTTCAAGCTAAATTAGTGTTATATACTCAATATTTTCTATATTTGAATATGATATCCTAATTAATCCAGGAATAGGCCACAGAAAACTTGTAAGTAGGGCAGCGTTTCTCAACCTGGGGGTCGGGACCCCTGGGGGGATTGTGAGGGGGTGTCAGAGGGGTCACCAAAGACCATCAGAAAACACAGTATTTTTTGTTGATCATGCGGGTTCTGTGTGGGAAGTTTGGCCCAATTTTATCATTGGTGGAGTTCAGAATGCTCTTTGATTGGAGGCTAACTATAAATCCCAGGAATTACAGCTCCCAAATGTCAAGTCTCTTTTCCCCAAACTCCACTAGTGCTCCATTATTGAGCATTCATGCCAATTTTGATCCAGATCCATCATTGTTTGAGTCCACAGTGTTCTATGGATGTAGGTGAAGTACAACTCCAAAACTCAAGGTCAATGGCCACCAAACCCTTCCAGTATTTTCTCTTGGTCATGCGAGCTCTGTGTGCCAAGTTTGGTTCAACTCTATCGTTTGCGGAGTTCAGAATGCTCTTTGATTTTAGGTGAACTATAAATCCCAGCAACTACAACTCCCAAATGACAAAATAACCCACCCATCCACCCACCTATCCCCCAATATTCAAATTTGGGCATATCGGGTATTGTGTCAAATTTGGACCTGGGAATGAAAATACATCTGCATATCGGATATTAACATTACGATTCATAACAGTAGCAAAATTACAGTTATGATGTAGCAACAAAAATAATTTTATTGTTGGGGGTCACCACAACATGAGGAACTGTATTATGGGGTCGCGGCATTAAGAAGGTTGAGAACCACTGAAGTAGGGGGAAGTTAAATTTAATAAAAATCTTGCTTTAGAGATCAAGGCACCTTCTGGTCATTTCCATTTTAGTGATGAATATGAGGGGAAAGGTAGGATATAACAGTTGCAGGTTATCAATATCCTATTTTTGCAAGGAAGCTTTGTGTTTAGTTAGCTGTAGAACTCAATAACTGCTTTGTTAATCTCTCGTATATCATGTTATGCAAAGTCAAAAACTAGACAAAAGTGGCTTGACAAGAAGTAATAGAGAACTTGCTTTATTTGTCAGATAGAGAGCATATCCTGTTCTTGGCTGAAAATGGGTCTGATATGAGTACTGAAATAGTTGAAATAGGCCATATGCTTTACAAGAAGAATGCCTCAGACTGTGGGTTCTTTCCTTCCCCATTTTAGGAATTTTTTTTAAATGTGAAGGACATTCTGAGGGCTCCTGCTGATGTGACAGGCCAGTTTGAAAAATGGGAAAACCAGGAGATTGAGCTGAATAAAAGGTGAGTGAGAAACCAGTTTTGTTGCTTTATTTATTTATTTATTTATTTAATTCTTCATGAATAGACATTTGTATATTCATGGTAATGATCCCATTTTTCAAAGTGGCATTTCTCTCTGTTGCACAGAATACTGTATTTCTGTCAGACATGTGTTTTAAATCTCAGCAGCTTGCTCACTTACAAAACAACCAGCTGACTCATGGTGCAGATCCTAGGTACTTGCACATGCAGTATAAGAGCCTCCCTATAAATGTTGAAAGATTTCAGAGGATCCTAGACATTTGTCCCAAGGCACAAGGATACTTCCCATAATATATCCCTTGTACTGATTCTCTCCTAGTGCAAACACTAGCAAAGTGAAGAACACACTTTCTATAACCAGAGGGGAATCAGATGCTGATACCTTGCTTCTCCTTCTGTTCAGGAAACAACTGTGCCACATTGCTTAGTTGAGATAGGGTTCCAGGTGCAAAGAGGGCCTAGCATGTTCACCTCCCAAGAATCTCACAGTCCTTGGAGCTGATGGACATAGCTTACCTAGCATGGCTCTCAGAGAGAAAAAGGAGATCTAGGCCTGGATGCTAACACTCTCTAAAGCCTTCCACTTTTCACTGAGAAGGGAGCATTGAGGAGGTAGGTCTGACTGACAAGATTTTTTTTAAAAGCCCTTCATTTTGACCCCAAATGTTGTTGGAGAAAGTTGCTCACTAAGAGCTTTCTTTGTACTGTGACATTTCCACTTGCCTTTGCTGCCTTTGTCCTCTAGTGCCCATAGGGTTTTCTGCCTGGAAGAGCCTGACAGCAAAATGAAAGCAAAAAAGGGACACTGGAAAAAAGGAGGAATCAATTTCTACCATTTTCCTGTGTTTCTTCCTCTGGCTGTCACAGCACAATAACTGTCTTTACAATTAAATTACATGCAGTTCAGCCTATGTTCTCATAATAAAGTTCATACTCAGCTGTACTGAAAATTAAGAACACAAGCACTGTTTGCAGGGTGACTTCTTATAGCTTCAAAATGACTGTATCATTCTCTTTTCATGCCATGATCAGCAAGAGAAATTAATATGGCCGGTAATGATGGGCATTTGTTTATAGTAAATATGTTTAGTACCCACTGATAGCTCTGTCCCCCTGCTAAGCTGAGTTCTTGACCACATCTCAAGGGAATTCCATAAATGGGTCATGTGCTGTTTGAAAAAGTGATTCATTCTGTCTGTTCTAGATCTTCCACAAATTGTTTTCTGTGGAATGTACCATTACGAGACCAGAAGAAAAACATTACTTATCTATTTTCTGTAATACATATATAATTTTATATAACTCCATCACCCTCTTCTGCCTTTTTGTTTGTAATAATAAAAAGTGGTGGCTGCTATTGCATTTCCAGCGACCTAACCCTTTTAGTTGCATAGACACATTATTGGATTAGTAGTTTTATATTCTGACCATTTTCTAATGTCTCCTAGCATAAAATTTGCCTTTATCACAGCTGTCACACAAGAAATTGCTGTTTTCATTAAGTTATCCACCACAACCGCCAAGATCCCTTTCTGGCTCTTTCAGTTTCAGCTCTCTTCTTACTATTTTATATTTGAATGCGAATTTGAAACCTCGATGTGCTGCACTTTCCACTCTCTCAATATGTACCACATTTTTAATTTTAATTCTCAGTCTAATCAATTCAAAGAGATCCTTTTATAAAGTTCTTCTATTCATTTTTTCCCCCAAGGAATACCAAAATCTTTGACTAGAATGTTTAGAGCTGACATAGGTAACCTGTTTATCTTTTTGGTTTTTTTTTTATCTTGAGTAGTTTTTATGAAAAGAAAGTAGCGGTCCATGAAGCATTGTGTGACAACATTGATACACGCACAGTCTTGGAGGAAATGCGATCGCTGGTCAGCCAGTGTAATTCCTACATAGCTGCTAAGAAGACTGCCAGGCAGATGCCAAACAGAATGCTGCTAGAAAATATAAGCATTTATCTTACACAAATGTTCAAGGTGTGTGGTTTTGAGAAAACCTTTTGAAGAACTTCATGTGTTTTTTTTAATTCGGTGTGCACATGTCAGCCGAATTCATTGTTGTTGTTATATCTCACACTACTCACGTGGTTTACGAGGAAATGGCGATGATTTGTGCAGTTGGAACATATTTATAATATTTATTTTTTAAACCTGTTTCTGGAAATGGAAAGGGTGTTCCCCACATTATCACTGCAGTTCCAGTGACAACGTGGGAGCACCTGTGTTTGCAGGATGCCATTTTGTGATCAGTGCCAACTCTCCTCCATAAATTCTGACTGCAGCTTAGGACAATCATGGACTAACTATGAAGCAGCAGTTAAATGTGAGATTTTTCTGGGTCTGGCTCTTACTAGAAAAAGTAAACCTGGATCTATGCTGTTCCAATCCAGATTCAGTTGGGGACACATGATCCATTAACTAAGCTTCAGCCTTGTTTTCTTAAAATCAGAGATGCACAAATGTAATCTGAGCATCAGTCTACATCAGAAGCCACCTCATATCGCTTCCAGTTGCCATTTATAGACAGCTTTTTCTCCATAAGCCAGTGTTTGGGAAGCTCTAAGTGGCTAGGAAAGCCAAACAGTTGCATTTCCAGATGCTTTTTTTTAGATAATGGAGATCTGAAAATCAGCCCCTTAATGTTTTAATGATGGAAGTTTGCCAGGGCTTTGTGAGACTGTCAGGGTTTTTGAGGATTACAAAATTGGCTAAGCTTTACTATAAAATTGTTTAGGAAAAAAACTTTTCTAAAGCAGAGTAAGTAGTAGAATGTTTTGTTTTATGCAGTACTGCTATATATTTATTTTACTGCCAAGTGTTGCTGTTTAACTATGTATGCATTTCCCTTGCATAGATCTTTGGTGCTATAGAAAGCGATGAAGCTATTGGTTTCCCAGTTGGAGGAAATGGTGGAAACTTAAATGTAAGTTAAGAGGTAAACACACTGAAACAATTTCAACACAAATTATAGCTTTTGGGGGGGGGGGGGACAGGATTACATATTGAAGCAAAGTAAGATTCTCTGTTTAGCATGGTGTGAAGTAAATGTAACTAGACTTTTCCAATTGTAATAATAATAAAACTTTATTTATATCCCACCCCATCTCCCAATACGGGACTCGGAGCAGCTAATATTTGGGTACAAGGACAGCTACTGAGAATCTTTTGGGTTATTCAGTGTTGAATAAGGAAATTGTCCTATGGTGTCATTGTGATAAAACTTTTATTGCTTTTTTAAAAAATCTTGCTGGAACAGAAACTACTTTGGAGTTGCCTAAGCACAGACACTTGAAACTCTTCTACATAACAGAAATATAGCATTCTGTTTCCACATTAACAGCCATGCTGCATCGTATGTAATCCTGGGATCTGTAGTATGAGGAGACAATAGCACTGGCTGAGAGTGTCAAATGTGCCTCCCTAAATTTCAGTCTTAGGATTTCATGGGGTGAAACCATGATAGTAAAAGTGGAATCATAGCACTATAACTGTATTGTGTGAAAACGCTTCTGCACGGGTTGAATCAGAACAGGGGCAGGAATATGATCACAGATAACATAGTCATACTTCTCACTAAAATATTTTGAAGAATATTTTCAAGGAAATGCTTTGATACTTAATTAGTTGACTGAATATTTTGTTTTACAGCTTGAATCAATTGTAATGCCCTACCTTCAGATTTTGTCTGAGTTCAGAGAAGGTGTAAGACAAATTGCCAGAGAAAAGAAAGGTAAAATTACATTTGTTTTTATTACAAGTAGGAGTCTACAGAAATATGCTTTAGTCTTTGAACATTCAAGGCTTTCTGCGTATTGTCATGCTCTGTTTGCTAAACAGCTGCAGGTGAAGTTGGCCTTTATTTTTAATAGGTTTTTAAGTCAAAAAGTTGGACATTGTTCCATTCGTGATCCTCCTTAAACTAATGTTCTGTATTCTACAGAAAAAAAACACTCATGATGTACATACTTACCTCTAAATATGGAGCCCCTGGTGGCGCAATAGGTTAAACCCTTGCGCCGGCAGGACTGCTGACTGAAAGGTTGATGGTTCAAATCCAGGGAGCGGGATGAGCTCCCATCTGTCAGCTCCAGCTTCCCATGCAGGAACATGAGAGAAGCCTCCCACAGGATGGTAAAACATCTGGGCATCCCCTGGGCAAAGTCCTTGCAGACGGCCAATTGTCTCAGACCAGAAGCGACTTGCAGTTTCACAAGTTGCTCCTGACATTTAAAAAACCCTCTAAACATGTATATTTGTTCCTTATGTTTACTGCAAAGTAGTAACATTATTGCCTGTTATCTGGGGTTATTCCCCCTCAGTTTTACCTTTCTGGAGCTTGAAATGTTAGATTTGAAAATTAATTTGATAATGTTTCACCCTTAGAAGCTGGAAATTTATTAAATAATTGTAATTTAATTCATAATTGTAAACATGATTGAAACTGTTTGATTGCATTAACCTAACTTAGCTTTGATCAAACCATTAGTGATGGGCTGGATAATGGGATTTGCAGGTAAGAGATATGGCAGTTATTGCTGTTGACCTTTGGAGATCTCTTCATTTTTTTACTGGCACTTAAAAGGAGCTCTCTTTGTTCGAGCACATTCTCCAATTCAGAAGCCAAGAATCTCAAATTTGGTCTTCAGGTATCTAACATGTTCTCTATTCCCAGCAGTCATATTACTTTAATAGTATAATTTAAATAACATCGGTAAAAAGTAGGAGGAGCTGGTAATTAAAAGACAGAATGGGCAGGGTGACAGGGGGTGGGATAGCCAAGAGAAAAAGAAATAAAACATGCAAAAGAAAAGGATTTCAATTCAAATGATGTAATAATTGCACATTGTACTATAATATACACAAGATACCAGTCCAAAATAAGATCAGTAAAGGGTGAATTGTTACTGAAGAGAATCACAATACAGCCCCCAGAAAAGATGTGCTAAGAAAACAAATCACCTCCCTCACTCTATTCTGTTTTAACACTCATGTTTTTCTTTTCTGTATTTTCTTTTCCTATCAAACACACGTCTACTCTGACCTGGCTGTCACATTATCCCTTTTCTTGTTATCTTCCCAAAGAAATCACACACAGTAGCTTGCCAAATAACAGAGCCATATGAAAGGTTTCTTTTAATTCTAATATTTCTTTTCCTGGAGCAGGAGGCCTTTCTGTTGTTCTGAGTGTGCCAGCAGTACATGCACCTATTCTAACAACTGAATTTAATAAAGCACATCTTAAACTTCAATGCAAATAGGGAAATCTAATGAGTTATGTGAAATCACTAGAAAAAAATCCTCAGTGAATTAATGTGAACAAGTTAATTATCAAACTAGCTCAAGCTAAGCATGGTTTTCTGTTGTCTGTTGCAGCAAAGCATATTTGTGACTTTCCATTTCAAAATAAAGAGTTCCAGGCAATATGTATTATGGCTTTCTTCTTCCCATTAAACTGCTGATCTTGTGTAGGGAAGACTTATGACCTCTTCTTGTAGGGAACTCAATTTGCTTCAACCATCTCCACCATGAGAAATAAAGTTGTAACAAGGTGTTTATTCAGACATTGCTGATCACATTCTCTCACCTTTTCTCTAGAAGGGCCTTAATCATGGGATATTAGAATTCTATGCAAATAAAAATTCTATCTGTTGTATCCCTTCGGGGTGAGAAGGGCAGGGTACCAATGTGGTAAATAAATACTGGAAATCACTAGGTTCTTGTGGGTTTTTTCGGGCTATAGAGCCATGTTCTAGAGGCATTTCTCCTGACGTTTCGCCTGCATCTATGGCAAGCTTCCTCAAGCTTCCTCGAGGAAGCTTGCCATAGATGCAGGCGAAACGTCAGGAGAAATGCCTCTAGAACATGGCTCTATAGCCCGAAAAAACCCACAAGAACCTAGTGATTCCAGCCATGAAAGCCTTCGACAATACTGGAAATGCTAAGAGCAACGTTGACCATTCTTAGCATGGAGTTAATTGCTCTAATATACTAGTGATAACATATAGGCAAAACAAAAACCACCCTAGCTTGGATATTTGGATCATGATTTCACTCCCAAATTTTTTATTGCCCTTGTTCACTTGAGTGTGTGAACAAGCTCAGGTGTGTCTACATTCTTGTGGGTAGAAAATCCTCCTTCAATTGTATCCAAAAGTGCAGTGGAAGAACTGGATATCATCCTGGAAAAGTTATGAAAAGTGTATTTTTTTTCTTTTGGATTTGGCAATGCTCTCATCTGGATTGTCACAATTATTACTGAAAGCTTCTGTCTCTCAGAAAACAGACAGTTGTCACTTACCTCTGAAGTTTTTCATGAGATCATGCTGTGAATTTCTCCAAATCACTATGTGGAAAAGTTACTTTTAGTGCTACAAGTCTCGGAATTTTTCAGCCAACACAGCTGGTTTGTGGGGGTTGTAGTCCAAAAAGTATCTTCCAAATTTTTCTCAGAATATATAATGGGTTTCTGTGAGTCTTCTGGCCTGTATGGCCATGTTCTTGAAGCATTCCCTCCTAACATTTCACCCACATCTATGGCAGGCATCCTCAGAGGTTGTGAGGTCTGTGGGAAAGTAGGCAAGTGTCCCACAGTTCCCTCCCAACAAAGGATTCCCCCAGGCAGGAAGCAACCGGGCTTTGGAGCTGCAGGGCCATTCAGTGCTAATCAAGGTGGCCAATTGCAACATTCACATTTGCCTCAAACAGGCAAAGAGTTCTTTCTCCCACCCTGGACATTCCACAGATAAATAATCCCCACTTGCCTAGTTTCTGACAGACCTCACAACCTTTGAGGATGCCTGCCATAGATGTGGACCAAACATCAGGCGAGAATGCTTCTGGAACATGGCCATACAGCCTGGAAAACTCACAGCAACCCAGTGATTCCAGCCATGAAAGCCTTCGAAAACAGAATATCTATTGCTTTGAATACTATCTCTCGGTAATGTTTTTCTGCATATACTTCTCATTTTCCTCTAACCAGAAGAATTTGCTGTTAGGACTTAATTATTCATAGTTTTAGAGTGGCAATTATTTATAACGCAGGAACGAACCTCTGCAAAGCAACTGCTGAACATTTCTTCCTAGCAGGACATGCCAGCTTTACTTTACTCTTGATGCATTTCAAGTGTCTTTTAAAAACAAATTCTGATTGTTGTGTTGAATTTTCAGAAATGACTGTAGACATCCAACTTGGGGGCAAATAATTGTTCTATTACTGCCCGTTATGCTAGTAGCTCCAACAAAATATGTTCCCGCATCACCACTTTGTAGGGTAAAAATACAAATTGACCCAATTCACATGCTCATTTTTATAAAGGATAAATGGGTTTGTGCTAAAATCTTAAAGATGCTTCACAGAATAGGTTTACTTGGAAATTAATCTTGTTCAAAGTGACTTGGGTCCTAGTAAGTATGTTTAGTGTTGAAGTCTTAATTGATCTCAGTGACATTAGTGAGGTTTGCTTCTTCTTAGGGTACGTTTGCTTGTGGCAGAAATTGCACGTGCAAATTCCAGAGCTTGAAAACATACCTTTTTGGAACTTCACCTCGCTGAAATGTCCAGCCAACACGGTCAATGGATATGCTAGCTGGTTGGTTTTGGGAGGAGTGCTTCGAAATTGCCGTAGGTTACTAGGTTTGGTCCTTTGCCACTTCAGTTCAGTCTCTTGGGCTGCAGGGTTGAGCAAGAATGTTGGCAGAGATTGAAAAAAGCTCTTCCCAGTCAGAAAATATATGCTGGGCTATAAGGATTGCTCCAATCTTTAGTCTCTCCCAATTTGATTGTGTGAGCTTGGCCAGCTTCTTAAAGGAGTGAAGAATGCCCCTCTCCTGGTGCTGCAGACTGAACAACTCCATGGGATCCTGGCCAGTAGAGATCACAGTGAAGGAAATTTTTAGCTCAGGTGCCTTTTTCACCTCTCTGGTTGGGTGTGTTTTCTAAGAAGTGAGATGAGAAGCTTTTCAAAGCTAGTAGAGTGACAAACTTTCATCTAGATCAGTAGTTTTCAAGCTGTGGGTCCCCAGGTGTTTTGGCCTACAACTCCCAGAAATCCCAGCCAGTTTACCAGCTGTTATGATTTCTGGGAGTTGAAGGCCAAAACATCTGGGAACCATTGCTCTAGATACTGAGCTTTCATCTAGAAAAGAGATGACTGCCCCTTTGCCCCATGGTGTATTTAAAGAGGGTTTTCCCTTGTCACAGAACCGTCTGATGACTAACGAAGAAAGGTGGAATGTCATTGAAACTAATGTCAGCTGTTTTGTTTCTTTTTCCTATTTTTGTAATTATAGTGTTTGAAGTTCTGCAGCTTTGTGATTCTCTACGAGATGACGTCCTTCCTGAACATGGAGTTCGGTTTGAAGACCATGAGGGTAACTGTGATGTAAATTCAGACTTATGCTTAATTTGGCCAAGTTGAGATTTGCTTTCTTCTGTTTCCCTTTATATAATGGTGTGCATCAGGGAATAACTGTGAAATGAATAAAGGCCCCTTCCACACAGGGGCCTTTATAAAATCCCACGTTATTGTTTTGAACTGGGTTATATTACAGTGTAGACTCAGATAACCCAGTTCAACATAGATATTGTGGATTATCTGCCTTGATATTCTGGGTTATATGGTTGTGTGGATGGGCATAAGCCTTCCTTGGACTTTTTAGTTTGCAAACCACTGCAATCTTATGCTGAAGTCTGTAGGATATTTTCCCAAATAGTTAGGCTTGGATGGAACATAGTAATTCCTGAAAGAATAATAGAGACTATTGGTTTTCAGGAGAGTCAGTCTGATGTAATAGTTTAAGTGTTGGACTCAGACATTGGGAGATCAGGGTCTGAATCCCCACTCAGCCATGGAAATCCACTTGAGCAAGGCACACTCTTTCAACCATAGAGGGAGGCAAACACAAACTCCCCTCTGAATAAATCTTACCAAGAAAACCAAGTAATATCTTTACATGTTGCTATAAAATTTTGACTGAAATAATAGCTAATGTTGCCAGCTGCACCTGTTAAAATACCTTTCTCTCTCTCCAGTTGTTAAAGGTGCAGGAGTCAAGCTCTCTTCTCTGTCAGCCCACTCTATTCCCATATTCAATGCAGTCACTGCCAGAACTTGGTTTGAACTCTTTGTAAAGAAGTTTCCATGAAATGATCATACTCGACCTCCCGCATCTCATACACAGTTGGGCCTCCACATTTGTGGGTTTAAGTTTAGTGGATTGAATTAATATGTTCTCTCTAGGAAGCACTAGGTCCTCCAGTGTGATTCTGTGGTCAGCTTCTGGAGATTCCTAGAGAGGAGTTTTCTGGGGTTAAAAAATAGTGTTTTTTAAAATTCATATTGTTTCCACTTTTTCAGGGATCCTGCACACCTAAACCCAGTGAATGTAGACAGCTGACTGTATAATGCTTTCACTTGTGTATTTATGTCTTTTCATTTACAAATGACTGACCTCAAGGTGGCTTAAAAAGTAAATGTCTATTCTAAGCAACATAGTGAGATGGCAATTCATTAACCATCTGGAACACTCCAACACATCCACAGAGACACAGACACATTTTAAACACTGAAATGATAGATAGGTAGATCAAACCTGTATTAACTTGTACATAAGTTATTTATCTGATTTTTAGATGACTATTTTTTAAAGATTGACATTTTAGACTAGTGTTCCTCCACCTGTTAGTTCTCTGTCAGGCAAGTGTTCCTCTTCTTCTGTCATGAATAATCAGTTTCTCGCAGGCACCATTTCTTGGAATCCTGGTCTTATGGAGCTCTTTTGGAACTCTGATTGGTAAATCTCCTACACCGGTTTATTTTCGTTTTCAAACATTCAAATGGAGATCTGGTAGATTCAGTGAATTACCAGAGCAGTCCTACCCATTTCAACTCAAAATCAAAGTGCGTTGAATACACTGAATCTAAACTCCTAGGGTTGCAGCCCCAATGTTCAGATTAGAATACTTGGTAGGAAGAAGTGAACACAAAGGACTTTCTCCATAAAGGAATAAGATCAGTCCAACTGAATAGAATCAGTATATTTGAATTACAAATTTTGACACTATGACCTACGCTGCTTTGAATAGTATCTATGACATTTTTATGGGTGTAAAGCGATTTTCCTGCTTCTTGGCAGGGAGTTGGACTGGATGGCTCATGAGGTCTCTTCCAACTCTATGATTCTATGATTTTTCAAAAATAGTAGTACATAAATGATAACTGGAAGGAGAAGATGTTTTTGCCATTCTAGTTCAGTTTGAGATAATAGTATTACAAAATCCTTGACTTGTTAGGAATTATCTTTTTTAGTCCTCTTGAGAATAAAAGTTGGATAGCTCCAGCAAAGGAGCTACTTCCAAGGGAGAAGTTGGTCTTGAGCTCAGTTCAACACAGGTCTAAATTGTCAACAGTAGGAGTGTGGCTATAATAAGACTCTTGGAAGAGTTACTTTTTGGAACTATAGCTCCTACTAAGCAGAAATTACAGCCTTGAAAAGTAACTTCCAAGCTTTGCATATGGTTATGTATAGTTTGGGTTTGAATTCATAAAAGCAGTGACACATTTAAGCATGTATTTATTTATTTATTGCTCTTTCCCCTTTTTTTCTAGGCCTCCCTACTGTGGTCAAGCTGGTGGATAGAGACACTTTGCTGAAAGAAAGAGAAGAAAAGAGAAAGGTTCTACATACCTCTTCTTTCATATAATTATACCAGTTGGGTCCAGTAGAAATCAATGAGTTAGGAAACAGAAATATTGCCATGTGCTCCACATTATCTTATATGTGCAAACTTCACCAAGGAATTTGAACGTATCTTGTCCTTCTTATTACTTAAAGTCCTCTTCCATTCCTTTTGAAAGGAATATGCTTTTTTCATATTAGATTTTTTCTTGGTATTTTGGTTTTTAGGCCTGTTTCTGGGGTTATTTCTATATCCCAAAAACTAGAGTGATAGGGGAAAACTGGTGCTATTTTTGGAATCAGCAGGTCAGATATACCCTAAAATTTGAGGCACCAAAATGTGTGTTGGCCAATGTAATTCTTGTGAAGTGAAAATGTAATATCTTCTTAGTGTATTCAGCCATTGAAATTGACAAGGCAGAGAGAAATTGTTATTTATAGATACCATCTCAATGGTAGGAGCTCCCGGTTGCACAATGGGTTTAACCCTTGTACTGATGGGACTGTTGACCGAAAGGTCAGCAGTTAAAAATCCAGGAAACAGGGTGAGCTCCTGTCTTGTCAGCTCCAGCTTCTCATACGGGGACATGAGAAAAGCCTCCCACAAGGATGGTAAAACATCAAATATCCGAGCGTCCCCTGGGCAACATCCTTGCAGGCAGCCAATTCTCTCACACCAGAAGCACCTTGCAGTTTCTCAAGTCACTCCTGACACACACACACACACACAATCTCAGTTGTGACAATGGTTCCTGTAAAAGTAAATGCATTTTACTCACATTCCTTTGTTCCCAATTACATCTTATACATGGTAGTGCATTCTGACACAAGTGATGAGTTAATTACAGTATCATTAGGATGATAACAACATTTGTATTCCATTATAGTTAGCCTTGGCACATATATGGGAACTGTATTGAGCTGGTGCATATAATTTTCTCAAACTCAAGCTTACATGTTCTAGATAGAACCGTATGGCGCTAGCATCTTGGTTTAGAAACCTGAAATACAAAATATAACTATGAATGTCTTCCTAATATAATGCACTCTAACATATTTTTAGAACTGTAAACCTGCTCTTCAAATTGATTTCCTATAGATTGAAGAAGATAAAAAAAGGAAGAAAGAAGAAGCAGCCAGAAAGAAACAAGAACAAGAGGTAAATAACACCCATCTTGACAGTATAAATGGCAGTGATGTCAGACAAGAAAGAACATATTTCAAGTTTTCTCTACAGCCATTGTGAATACTTACCATTAGATGAGAATTTAATATAGTAATATGACCCCCATTTCCTCAGGTTCAATACATGCTGTTTCATTTATTCACTTTGGAATAATTAGTGGAGCTCATTATTTTAATGGTAACTTTCAGTTCACAGAACTTCCTGAATTGTAGGCTAAAGTTTGTTTTCAGATATGGTCTTGAAGTAATTAGACAAAGGTGCAATGCTTTTGTCCGAGTAGGAAAATATTGCAGAAATCATGCTGCTTCAGTTAATATAATTCAGCCATTATTCCTCTTTTCTGTTACAGGCAGCAAAACTGGCAAAAATGAAAATCCCACCAGGAGAAATGTTTAAATCAGAGCATGACAAATATTCCAGATTTGATGAGAATGTAAGAATCATGGGTTTTCTTTTTTTAAAGCCAACGTGCATATCTTATTTAGGCATATATCTGGTAGCACTGCTGTGGGTAATACTTGTATAGTTCCTTGAACTACTGTATTGTAATTATTTTAATTCATAAACCAGGTTGAATCTCAGTCATAGGGAAAATATGGGATGGGTGATTGTTCTTGTGGTATGATACAAACACCCCACTGTGATCATTGGAAGTGGGAATAGGGCAATCTTGGCATATTTTGGGTCCTTCTGGACCGCTTTAGGATTGATTATTACCCTTTTTGGTTTTTATTATTTTCATAATCTTTTAAGGGCTACAAGTGTAGTTAATTAGTTTTGAATGTACACGTTCAAAGCTCATCTTTCTGCTTTTCCTGTTGATAATGGGTAGTACTAATGAAAAGGGATAATACAGTTGTATCAACACAGCATTCACAAACAAAAACATTGGGATATTAGGGTTTTAAATTACTGAATTTAATATTTTCCAGGGATTTCCAACCCATGACACAGAAGGCAAAGAACTCAGCAAAGGTCAGACGAAGAAATTAAAGAAACAGTATGAGGCACAAGAAAAATTGTACAAAGAGTATCTTCAAATGGTTCAGAACGGTGTTGCAAATTAAGAAAAAAAATGGACAATATACTTTTAAAATAAATGGCACATCTGGATAACTTTTGTGGAGATAATGAGTTTTTAGCGGGCTATGACTCCCTGTTGTCTAAAACTGGGGAAATTGTAAATGAGTAAATTGTGTTGTTTTCAGCAATATTTGTGTAATGTGGTGACATGAGCTGGAATAAACTAGTTGCTATCTCTTATAAGATGGTATGGCATGGTTAATTACTCAAGTTTCCTTCATAGAATCATAGAGTTGGAAAGAGACCACATGGGCCATCTAGTCCAACCCCCTTCTTCCATGCAGGAAAAGCCCATTCAAAGCACCCATGACAGATGGCCATCCAGCCTCTGCTTAAAAGCCTCCAAAGAAAGAACCTCCACTACACTCCGAGGCAGAGAGTTCCACTGCTGAACTTTCCTTGTGTAATGTGCATCCCAGTTTTTTGTTTTCTCAGAAGTGAGTCCCTCTGAATTCAATGTACCTTACTCATTAAGAAACCATTCCTCCCAAGCCTAGAGTAATTTCTAATCATAATATAGCTGTCTTTTGCAGTTTGAATAAATTAATAAAATCAAACTACACAGAAACTAGGGAATCTGAGGAAGGGAGAGTAACTTTTTTCCATGAGAAGGACCATAAGTGATACTGTAGAAAATACAGTATATATTTTAAATAAATGCATAGAGACTGTCATGTGCTTGTATCTGGTTTTTATCTTGCATTTGTATAATGAGTAGTTTCATTTCTGTTACTTTTTAGAACAATTCATGGTCAGTGCCAAATAAATTGCTATTACATATGAGTGCAAAGAAAATTAAATGTCCCTTTGTTCCATTGAAATCTCAGTTGCTTCAGGTTTGGATCAGAGTTGAAAAGTAACTTGATGCTTGCTACTGGTAAGAAATAACGTTACAGTTGCTGTTAGGGGAGGAATGTCCAAAGTCTGGCCCGAGGGCCAAATGCAGCCCCTGATCAAATTTCCACCAGCCCTCTCTCTTTAGGCCTCCCTCCCTCCTTTCTTTCTTTCTTTCCTCCCTCCCGCCCTCCCTTGCTTTCTTGACTTCCTCCCTTCCTTCCTTCTTGGGGATCAGGTCCTCAAAAAAAGTGGGTTCCTCGGAAGGAAAGAAAGAGACATAGCAGTCTCTTCAACCCGATTAGGCGTCGCCTTCTCCTTGGGTGGCTCCAGCCTCACGCATCCAATTCCAGTGGCCCCTTGTCTATCTCTGTCTTTCCCCCCACCACTTGTTTTTTATTTCTTTGCAAAGGAAGGTTCCCCAATTGTCCTGCTTGCCCGAGGAGCTCACTGCTGCCACTGCTGCTACTGCATGGCTGGCAAGGGCGGGCTGTGGAATCTGAACTCCTTTCTGGTTTCCCTCCCCCACTTCCTTCTCTGCCCCATCTTCGTCCGCATCTCCGCCTCAACTTTTCCAAAAAGGATGCATGCCGTATAGACTACTGCAACACGCTCTACTTGGGGTTGCCTTTGAGGACTGTTCAGAAGCTACAAATAGTCCAACGGGTGGCAGCCAAGTTGCTAACAGGAACGGCTCTCAGGGAGCACACAACTCCTCTGTTGCGCCAGCTCCACTGGCTGCCAGTTTGCTTCCCGGTACAATTCAAAGTGCTGGCTTTAGCCTATAAAGCTCTTAACGGTTCTGGTCCAACTGACCTATCTGAACATATCTCTAATTATGAACCATCTAGAATGTTAAGATCTTCTGGGGAGGCCCTGCTCTTGGTCCTGCCTTCCTCGCAGATGCGTTTGGCGGGGGTGAGAGACAGGGCCTTCTCAGTGGGGGGCCCTCAACTGTGGAACGCCCTCCCTAAAGATATAAGATTGGCCCCCTCCCTCCTGACTTTTCGAAGAAAGGTGAAAACCTGGCTTTTTGAGAAGGCCTTCCCAAATATGGCATAGTTATACGAAATCATGGAACCACTTGATGACGCAATTGAATAATGGCTTGACATGGAGGCGCTCACGATAATGTTTTTAAGGCTTTGTAGGGTTTTTATATTCTTATATTGTATGCTAATGTTTTTAACAGTATTTTATGATTGTTTAATTTGTTATAATTGTTGAGGCATCAAATTGTTGCCAATTGTGAACTGCTCTGAGTTGCCTCTGGGCTGAGAGGGGCGGTATATAAATGTGGCAAATAAATAAATAAATAAATAAATAAACTATTAAACCCCCCCCCCCAATCAAAGCCCACTTGACAGAAGGCCATGCTGCCTCTGCTGAAAAACCTCCAGAGAAGGAGACTCCACCAGACTCTGAGACAGCATATGCCACTGTTTAAAACTACTTGAAGGCACCCAACAACAACTATCCTAATTAACTTGACTCTCTTCATCAGCGAAGAGCAGGCCCACATTTCCCATTGAAAGACTGGTACGTTTATGTTGGTTTAAGTTGTTCTTTGTTTTATATATTGTATTATTCTTTCATGGGTTTTTTTTTTTTGCACTACAGATAAGACATATGCAGTGTGCATAGGAATGCTTTCATGTTTTTTTCAAACTATATTCTGCCCCCACCTCCACCCCCACCAAACAGGCTGAGGGAACGTGAACTGGCCCTTGGCATAAAATGATTGGATACCCCTGTTAGGGAAAAGATGTTTTTACATTACTCTCCAAACATTTCCCAGTTTTCTGTTACTATATACCAGGGGTCCACAAACTTTTTAAACAGAGGGCCAGGTCACCGTCCCCCAAACTGTTGGAGGGCCGGATTATAATTTGAAAAAAAAAATGAATGAATTCCTATGCACACTGCACATATCTTATTTGTAGTGCAAAAAACACTTAAAACAATACAATAATAAAAATGAAGAACAATTTAAACAAATATAAAATTATTAGTATTTCAATGGGAAGTGTGGGCCTACTTTTGACTGATGAGATAGGAGTGTTGTTATTGTTGCTTGCTTTCAAGTAATTTCAGACTTAGGTTGACCCTGAGCGAGGGCCGGGTAAATGACCTTGGAGGGCCGCATCCAGCCCCCGGGCCTTAGTTTGAGGACCCCTGCTATATACGGTGTGTGTATGTGTGTTTGTAATTCAATTGAAAACATCACCACAAATCCTCCAAAATAATGTCCAAAAGTAACAGTTTAACAGTAACAAATACATGTTACTTGTTATGAATAAACAGTTGGTGTGGTTGCCATTTGTTACATTTCTTCTTTAAAGTGATGATGTGGGTTTAATTTTTACTAAAATATAATATGTTAGAGGTAATGTGTAAATCTTCTGCTTCCAAGCTTGATTCAGAAGATAGGTGTAGAGAAGATCCACTGAAATTAAAGGAACTAATTAGTTGTGACTACTTTCAAGGATGTTCCCTAAACATGACTAAGAACAAAATCCTGTCTAAACCTAGGCACTAGCATGCCCCAGATGGGCTGTTGTTCTTAGGTGTCACAGCTGGTTCTTTATGTGATTACCTTTTTAAAAAAATCACCAATCTGGTTCTTCTGTCAGTTGGCAGTTCTGCACACATGTGGTCTGCCAACAAAGAAATGTAATTCATTCACAAAACTTATGTATTAGATTGCTTTGTTTTATAATATGGATTAAAGGTGCTGATACCTTTTAAGGTGTTGTCTTTCAATAATACCTATTGAATAAGAAAGCCAATTTACACAATATCATCAGTTAAACTGGTACATCATGTATAGTTTTAACAATTTATATTACCATTATATCTAATCACTTCTTTAATTTCATGACAAAGCATCCACACAATGGAGGAAAGGGAGACTGGTTTACTCTCATCCCAGTTGGAATTTTGGTAAGGGGGTGGCATGGCATAGTGGTTTGAGCTTTGGACTACTACTCTGGAGTGAAATCATGCTCAGCCAAGAACAACTGGGTGGTGTCAACAGACTGTTCCAACTCTTAAAGAGGCTGTGCTAAATAGACCTGTACATGACAGAAGGAAAAGTTCCCAGCAATAAGGCAAGATCCGTAGAACAAGAACCAAATCCCAAATGTTTTGGCAGCATTTCTTCTTCCTCTACCATCACTTTCTTAAAAGTTGATGTTACGAGGAAGTCTACAAGAAGTTTCCTGCGCCAAGCCAAATTATCAGATGCCTTGTTGAGATGGTGGTACTGGATAACTAAAGGGACTTCGGCTCTTAAAGAATCTGCTTACAAAAGGAGAACTATGCCAGTCTAGAAGGCTGCCTTGGCTACACTTACTTCTCTGTCCGCTGCTCTGCTCTATTTCTTCCTCTGCCTGCTCTCTGCCAACCACTGTTGCAAGCCCAGTGCCCGCCAAACAGCCTTTCAGCAGGACATTCAAAGTCTGACCATTACATTTTGTCTTTCCTGCACAGCCGTAGTTCTAATTACAGTGAAGAATAAGAACACTCTATAGAAGAACTGGAAATAAGACCAGGGCTGATGTCAGTTCCAAGGAAATTATGCCAACAATCTGAAGCAGAGCAGGAAGTGGCACTCATGTTGTCATGGGTCAAATTATTGATGTATCCTTGGCATTGCATCAGTGCTGGCTATGTTTCCCCAACTTCAGTGAAACATTTTTATTCTTCATTGTAATTTGCCGCTGCTGACTCTGAACAATGAAAGTAGCAATTAAGTTGTTCAGAAGTCAAGAAATACGTCGCAATCATATGTTCTTCCCAACTCCCAGCCAGGCAGTGTCTGCTACCAGTGTCGTATGATATTCTCAGAGATGATACCATGAAAGTTGTTTGCATATATACAAAAATTGTGTGGAAGGAGCCATAGTTACTCCGCCACTGCAACCAATGACCTTGGCTTTCTTCCAGCGATCAGTAGCTGAATGTGCAGCATTTGCTCTCTAGTAAAATGCTAGCTGTTGCCAGCACATTTGTAAAAACCCAATTTAAGCAAGTTTTTAAAACAGCATATAAATATGGAGCTTTGTCACTGAACTATACCACACAGCCTTTTTTCTGACAATTGATTTGTCACTCAATTTGTTGTAGATTTTAAAGAGATATTTCTAAATGCAACAAAAGGCAAAAACGTGTGTGTGTGTGTGTGTGTGTGTGTATGTGTATATGTGTGTGTGTGTGTGTGAGTGAAAGAAAACAGAATAAGAAAAAATGCTGCAAGAAATACAAAAAAGGCCAACATTTCCTGTGACTTAATTTTCTTTACAATGCTTATCAATCTACAACTCTTACTACTCCAGGTAAAACATTACAGTTGGTCAGCTATACCAAACATTCTAGTAAAAAATGTACTTATACTGTTTTTTTCCAGAAAAAAAGAAATTTGGGATTCTTTTTTTTAATGTCACCAATGGCCTCCTTAGTTAAAGCAGTTAGTTTGTCCATTTCTGTCAATTTTAGCTGTCAGTCTCCTTTGGTTGGTATTGTGCTCTGTATATAGTATTTTTCTCAAAGTGGTAATATATTGTAATAGTCTTCCATATTTCTTTTCCATTTGGTCATCCATATTACGATTTTAATTTGATGTCGTTGTCATCCTGTCTTTTCTCTCTAAAAAAGAGACTCAAAGCAGCTAACAATACTAAAACAATACCATGTTCAATTTAGAACCTGAAATGTATAAACACTGAATATAATTAAATTTACTTACGTAGGTGATCCCTCATAGCCCAAGGATGATGGTCCTCCAGGTATAGTGTCTTGGTCGTGGGTCTGCAGGTGGCTGTGGAGCCCTATTCTTGATCCGTATGTTCTCCCGCAGTGAGGACATTGGTTTCTAGGTGGAAGGCGGTCCCAGTCAGGGTTGGTTTGAGGCACCTTCTTCTTGGCATGTTTCTCCCTTTCACTCTCCATTCGTGCCTCTTTGAAT